AAATCCCGAAATTCTCGCTTGGGCTCCCCTATTAATATGAATAGAGCTGTCAGTGGGCTTCACAGGGAAGCAACGTGGTGCCCTTTCTATTCTTCTTATTCATCAACGATACAGGATTGAATAATATATAATGAGATTCTGTTATTTTTTATGCTATGATTTTTGATAAGGCGCTTTCTCGAAAATACGGAGCTACGAGAACTGTTGGAAATGACTACCCCCCGCTTGGATGCAAGGAACCCAACCTTCTCCTCATCGACTCCCGATTTCTTTCAACAACACCGAGATCGTTTCTGATTGAGTTACATCCAGCAATTATCCCATTTTCCAAATCTTCCACTGGAGTAGTATAGACTATTGACATCGAATTGTTCCAAACTGAGATCATACACAGAGAGGAACATTGGTTCAGGAGGATATTCAAAGCAGCCGCATAAATTTTATCCAACAATATATTCAGCCAAGCTAGCGTAGAGATACACAACGTATGAAAACCCATAATCAAGCGAAAAATGGCCAACTCCCGCCAAATAGTCATCTCACACTAAACCAGTGAAGCGGAAAAAGGAAAGTAGAGATAAGTGAAAGTACTCAATTTACCTATAAATAGTCAGCTCACGGAGGAATCAGTCCAGTAAAAGATTGATCTCTAGATCTTCTGATAGCTGTTCCAGAAATGACAAGGAACCTAGAAGTAGGTCAAGAGAGCTAAGCAGATCCATAGAAATTAAAGATGGGGTCACAGAAGAAGACATGAGAGACCGAATTGGAGCAAGCCTAGACTTTGAGGATGGTCCGGTTCCTGGAATGGACCCTCTTCCAGAAGACCAATCCAAAACTACAACTCTCCGAGAAGTGGGATTGCATTCAAAATATTTACCAGAGTGGAAGACACTTGAGATTCTACAATGGCTCCAGGGGGTGGAACCGTTGTACCATGAGAACGAAGAAGCCAATGCTTGGAGAACATCAAGAGTGAGGAAACGTGTATCGCACGTCCAGAATTGTAAAGGCAGAACTCAAAAAATGGTGTTTTCAGTCCTCGGTTAATGTTTTAATCTTTCGTGAACACTATATTCAGTCTGATTTGAACGTTATTTATTAATTTGTTTTTGAAATTTTTGATCAATCCATAGTTTTTTAGTTGTGCCTATTGCTTTAAGGAATACTATTTGTAAGTACGATATATATAAATAAATACAGCACTCGAATAAAGTAACATATGATGTTTATTATACTAAAAAACGTAAAGTAAATATAGGAGGGGGGCCCACGATGCAAAATGGGGATTTATTCGAGCGTTATTGAGTCATATTAGGTTGCAAAGCTTAGATGATAAGAAGAAATATATGTTTTATATTATATACCTTTTCATCGGTGGGGGAAGCGGCTATAGATTTTTAAATATGTAAAAAAATACTGTTACATGGACATGCTCGAGCGCGTCAGATAGTGATAGCATCAATGTTCTACGTATTTTTAATAATGTCGGTATGGTATTCTGATCGTTTGCATGATGTGGATGGTTGTACGTAAGAGTCAAAAGTGAAAAGAAAAATAATTTAATCTAGCGCGTCAGACTTTCTAAGGGGGTGTTAAGTGCATCAAAAAAAACCTCTCATTTAATAATCTGACGATTTCGATCTGACGCAAACTCGCGGCATTATTATAATGTGCAAAAAAAATGCAATTTTGAAATACTCAAGCGCATCAGATTAAGATATATATGGTTTATCTTCATGTTCTAGACGTGCTGTCTCATAATCTGACGATTATCTAGAGGGATTCACTTAATCTGAAAAAAACAATATTTATNCAACCAACAATAAATTCAGCCAAGCTAGGGTAGAGATACACAACGTATGAAAACCCATAATCAAGCGAAAAATGGCCAACTCCCGCCAAATGGTCATCTCCCACTAAACCAGTGAAGCGGAAAAAGGAAAGTAGAGATAAGTGAAAGTACTCAATTCACCTATAAATAGTCAGCTCACGGAGGAATCACTCCAGTAATCACCCGAAGACGATTGTGGATACCCGACACAATTATTATTCAACACAAGACATGGAATCCCAAAAAAATCGGTCGAAGGAAGAGGCTGCCTTCGTTCGAAAAGATACAGATATGGTGAAACAGTTTGAAGCAGATGCATATTTGAAAGAAAATGAAATTAAAAAGGATTCAAGCCGAAGTGAATGTGACAAAAATAGAAACTGTAGAAAAAGGTCAATTTCCCGAGACAGGAGTAGCACACCATCAAGAAGTAGACCAATTAAGAGACGGAGATTGATTTTTGGATCTTCTGATAACTGTTCCATAAATGACAAAGACGCTGCCATTATTCAAAAGGATACAGCTATGGTGAAACCGTTTGATGCAGATGTACCTTCAGAAGAAGATAAAATTGAAGAGGATCCAATCCGAAGTGGAGGTATTAAAAATAGAAACTGCAGAAAGAGGTCAATTTTCCGAGACAGGAGTAGCACACCATCAAGAAGTAGACCAATTAAGAGACGGAGATTGTTCTTTAGATCTTCTGATAACTGTTCCAGAAATGACAAAGAATCTAGAAATAGGTCAAAAGAGCGAAGCAGATCCATAGAAATTAGTGATGGGGTCACAGAAGAAGGTATGAGAGACCGAAATGGAGATAGCCCAGACTTTGAGTATGGTCCGGTTCATGGAATAGACCCTTTTCCAGAAGAACACTCCAAAACTACAACTCTTCGAGAAATGGGATTGCATTCAAAATATTTACCAGAGTGGAAGACACTTGAGATTCTACAATGGCTCCAGGGGGTGGAACCGTTGTACCATGAGAACGAAGAAGCCAATGCTTGGAGAACATCAAGAGTGAGGAAACGTGTATCGCACGTCCAGAATTGTGAAGGCAGAACTCGAAAAATGTTTTTTTCAGTTCTCGGTAAAAGTTTAAATCTTTCGTGAACCCCATATTCAGTCTGATTTGAACGTTTTTTGAACATTTGTTTTTTAAATTTTTGATCAATCCATATTTTTTTAGTTGTGCCTATTGCTTTGAGGAATACAATTTGTACGATATATATAAGTAAATACAACATTCAAATAAAGTAACATGATATTTACCAGAGTGGAAGACACTTGAGATTCTACAATGGCTCCAGGGGGTGGAACCGTTGTACCATGAGAACGAAGAAGCCAATGCTTGGAGAACTTCAAGAGTGAGGAAACGTGTGTCGCACGTCCAGAATTGTAAAGGCAGAACTCGAAAAATGGTATTTTCAGTTCTCGGTTAAAGTTTAAATCTTTCGTGAACCCCATATTCAGTCTGATTTGAACGTTTTTTAATAATTTGTTTTTGAAATTTTTGATCAATCCATATTTTTTTAGTTGTGCCTATTGCTTTGAGGAATACAATTTGTACGATATATATAAGTGAATACAACATTCAAACGAAGTAACATGCCATTTATTATACCAGAAATTACAAAGTCCAAAGTGCAGGGGATCAAGCCACGGCCACATAATCTATTATATGCATAAAATTCCCATGTCGGGGTTGATTGCCATAATCCTCGGACCCGGCTCGACTGATTCTCATGAAATTTCATATGTATATTCGGGAGGTTTGTGAATAGGTTTTAATCTATTTCTCATACCCCTAATTAATGAAGGTGTTTCACTCCAAACATCTGTTTTATGGACAAAATTTTTGTTTTTATATTTTTGTGGTGTGGCATTAAAAATTACGTGTAACCCTCAATTTTTACCCTTCTTTCACCACCCATTTTAGTAATTTAATCATTTTTAACCCCGATCATAGATCCTTCATTCCCGCCAGGCGTCTACCGATGTCACTCCTCACTCAGTGAACAGAACGGAGTAGGGATGAGAACGAAGCCGGTCTCCTGTATCTCTCACACAATATGTCTTCTCTCACTACCTCTCAGCCACTTATTATGTGTCCTGTAGGTGGGATCTCTCCGTAATTTAAATCTACCACGGCTGTGCAACTGCACGCGATCAGTCATTAAAAAATGAATGAGTCAATAACCAGCTTCGTAGTTGATGCGTTCTGAACAATGGGAGCAACAGCTCCGAGTACCAACTTTGATAAGGCTGTAGACCAAACGTCAGGCATGGAAACCTGCTTACCACGGCCAAAAAAACCGCAATGTAACTTCCACACAGTTGATATAAGTATTTATTGTTGATAGTGAATCATTCAGTTTATTAATAACGCAGTGAAAGTTACTTCTTGAGACTGAAAATAGTGTGTCATCTGCAAAAAATATTAACTTAAACTACGAAAATTGTCGGATGTCAATTTGTGAATGATGGAAGGGAAGACATGAAGGAACCAAACAAAGTGGAAAATATTTTCAAATTGTTTATTGAACTTTAGAATACAAAAACGACAATTCATATAGTTGTGGAACTGAATTGTGAAACTTCAGTAATGCTTCATTATAAAATTGGCAGAGATACTTCAGTTTGGAAAAATGAACCACTGCTATGAAGGCTCCTTTATCCGAACTATGTTGATGGGAATCTACAAGTGTGATCTAAAAAAAAATTTAAAAGTTATTGAAATGCAACGTTATATCCATTGTGTATCTTTACATCACAAAAAACATTGAAGGTTTATGAATAACACACAATTCAACAGCGTAAATTTCCGCTTGGAATACAGTCGCATAAGTTCCTAGGCAGGTAGATAACTCTGTCCTGGGTCTGCGACTGAAAACACCTGCACCAGAACGGGAAGGTGTTTTTGATCCATCTGTGAACCAACAACTATCTGTTCTTAATATTTCCTTCTCCCGCAGGATCCAGTCCTCTCTACTCGGGAACAGTACTTTATAAGGCAGTTCATAGTTGACAGTTGGAGGCATAAAGTCAGAGGTCATTTCCAGAATGCTGTGACTTCCAATGTCAACCAACAGTCTGTTGTACTCTGCATTGATTTGATTTGTGCAATTGGCAATGTGTACAAGTCTGTATGCAGTCCATCTAGCCTCTCTTTCCAGAAAAATGTGGAGAGGAGGTAGATCTAGAAGGATCTACATGGCCGATGGCGGTGTGGTACTGATGGCACCACTGATAGCCAGACAAGGCTGTCTCTGCGAGCCAGAGAGCTTCCCTTGGGCCGTTTTCTGTAAAGCCTTCGGCCACCAAGCAATTGCACTATACGTGATCATTGGTCTGACAAATCCTTCAACATGTCCATAGAGACTGGCTTTGTGTAAAACTTTTTCCAAGTGAGCGTTCCAGGTGAGTCTTTTACCAAGGACGATGCCAAGATATTTCATCTCCGTTCCAAATGGAATGACCATACCATTGAGGGAAAGTGGCGTTAGACCGTCCAATTTCCTTCTCTTGGTGAAGGGGATTAACACAGTTTTGCTGGGGTTGACAGACATCTGCTCCCTCAGACACCAACTGTGCCTGAGCGCTTTGGAGGATATTACAAGCTACCCTTCCCGACGTGGAGACCTTGCCAGGATGACAAGGTCATCTGCATAAGCTTGCAGATCAACTTTTCTTCTGTCGAGGGCATCAAGCAGACCATCCACCAGGAGCGACCACAGAAGGGGAGACAGTACCCCACCTTGAGGACAGCCCCTGGTGACCCTGAACCTAATAGCCTCGCCTAGTTATGGTCGATTCTATACCCTTTCTAGCCAGAGACAATCCTATAGATTTAGGTAGTGCATTGTCAAATGCTCCTTCAATATCAAGAAATACAGCAACCGCAATCTCCTTGAGGATGCATATCTTCGGTGAGGATGCATATAATGCTACCCTCCTGATGTGTCCGTCCAGTATGCTCTCAAGTCCTTTTAGCAGGAAGGATGTAAGGCTGATTGGTAGTACCGATTTGGGGTGTGGGTCTCTCCGGCCCACTTACAACTACTTATAACTAAGACGATGTCTTCTATTTCATTTGTCTTTGATAACCTATAATCCGTTCAAGCCTTTGCTGCACTGAAGATGATCACGGCTGTGATCGAAACATGTATGTTTTTTCCGTTTGAATGATTAAACATATTCCTTTTTTGTGTGGAGACTACGAGTTTACCTTCCCCTTCAAATCTTTTTACTCCACTTTGAGTTATGGACTGTATCCGTAGATTTCATTCAGCTGTTCGGATTGACTTGATATAGACTAAATGTATACTCACCGTTTCACTCCGCATTTGTATGATGAACAAAACAGTTCTCGAATCTGCTACCAAAGTGACATATAAGTTTGAAACGCCGCTCTCAAAATGAAATTTCGTCCATTCTATCCAGCTCTTCGTAATGTTTTCATGAAGGGTAAAAGCTAACGGTTCCATGAATACTTCACTTTTCTGAAAGATAGAGACCTTAAAATTACCGGAGGCTACTTAGACATATTTCGAAAATATCTTTTGAATCTGAATTTAAACAAAAAGTAATTGATGGGCGTTTGATCTTTTGTTAAATCATTTTGGATTATAATCGTATTTCTGATAACGCTTTTGCATTATTGATGGACTATTTGAAAAAGAGACAGCAACTGGTTAGTATAGAGGAATACAACTTAGATATATTAAATTACAAATCAGAGGTACCTCAAGGATCCATACTTGGCCCTTTATTGTTCTTTATATATACATGCAACTTACACAGGTTCTTCACACTTGTCAGGTGCATTTATACGTCGATGATACTCAAGTATATCACAGCTTTCCTCCTCTTTTCGGACGGTATTCGTCTCGCCAGGAGCTAAAAACTCCACGACAAATATCGTCTTGCTCTTGTGGTCGAGAAGGACTACATCAGGCTTATTAGCATGTATAAGCCCCAGGGTGGGGAATGAATAGTTTCAATAAATTCGCCACTTCTCGTTCCCCACAACGGACTCAATTTCTCTCGGAGCGTGTGTCTTGTCAATACCGTAAGAGTACCGTAGATGGTAGACTAAGGTGTTGAAGACACCAATCTGGCAAGCCATGATGAACCACTCAGTTTCTGACTTCAGCCCACTCGATCTGAGGAAAGCGAAGTCAGATGCTTTGATAAGCCAAGGTCTCCAATGTTATTGAAGAAGACCCCATGCATTGGCTCATCCTTGTTTTTCCACACAAGTGAGGTGATCTCTGCGACTTTTATATGAGCGTTTTGCTGAACGGGTTCCAACTCGGTGACAGAGTTGTGGTCACCTCGTTCAGTGTCGAAAACTAAACCAAATTCATGAGCTGCTCTGGTAGCTGCCCTAAAAAGAAATGCTCCATTTCCTGTTTTATCATGGTCACGGACCATGACGGACTATATTAAATCTAGTTATTTCCAGTATTTTCTACCAACATTCACTTCTACGTATTTCAAATAGAACACCTTGTGTATATCAGATGCCATGAGAAATATGCTGGCTGCAGGAAATCTCTCAACAAAGCAATATGGGAAGCAAAGAATAGAAGTTGGAAGGTGCTCCAGAATGAAGTAGATGCAGATAGATGGGGAAAAGGATACCAGATAGTCACGAAAAAAATCAGAACCCCACAAACGATAACGATGACAGACAATGAACAGAGAGAAATAGCCAAAACCCTTTTCCCAGAGCACTCAGTAACAGAATGGAAAAAACCCATAGTGCACCAAAATGAAGTCCCTGAATTCAGTATAGAGGAATTGCTGGCAGCAGTAAAGAAGACCAAGGTAAAGAAGGCTCCTGGTACGGACGGTCTGACAGCAGTAGTGGTCAGAGCAGCAGCGCAAAAGTACCCGGATAAAGTGCTGGAGACTATACACGCAGCACTGATGGAGGCTAACTTTCCGAAGGAATGGAAAACCGCGAGGCTGGTACTAATCGAGAAAGAAAGTAAAGCAGGAAGCACAAACAAGGCGTTCCGACCCATATGTGTGTTGAATGTCATGGGAAAGCTGCTAGAAAAAAAGCTACTGGGAAGACTGAAGACAGAAATGGAGAGAACGGGCGGGCTATCAGATGAATAGTTTGGCTTCCGAGAGGGACGATCTACAACGAACGCACTGGAGAGGGTAACGGAAACAGCGGAGAAAGCCAGAGACGATCAATACCATAAGAGGAAGCTGTACACTCTTATAACCATCGATGTGCAGAACGCATTCAACACAGCACCGTGGAACGGAATACTGGAGGAGCTGCACAGGAGAAAGATCACCCCGTACCTCTTTAAAATGTTAATCAGCTACTTTGAAGAGAGATCGCTAATGATAGGAGTGGAAACAAAAATGAAAGTAACCTGTGAAGTTCCTCAGGGATCCGTATTAGGACCTACTCGATGGAACCCCTACTATGACAGCATCTTCACTATCCAAACCCCGGATGGAGTCAGGCTAGTAGGCTTTGCCGATGATGTGGGGATTGTAGTTACAGCCAAAACGAAGGAAAACCTGCAAATGATAGCAAATCAGACTCTACAAAATATTGCAGAATGGCTTCATCATAAGCGATTGAGACTAGCCCCACAGAAAACGGAAGCTGTTCTCTTGGTAGCAGGAAGAAAAATCAAGACCATCAGCCTAGAAATTGAGAATACCGTGGTGGAGAGCCAGGAAAAGGTGATATATCTAAGCATACTGTTGGATAAAAACATGACAATGGGGGGTCATATAAGGAGAACAGCGAAAAAAGCTAACAAAGCCCTAGCGGCGTTAGGAAGGCTGATGCCCAAAGCTAGAGGTCCGAGAGAGGCCACAAGAAAAATTCTATGCTCAGTGGTGCATTTAATTATGCTCTATGCAGCACCAATCTGGCACAAGGCTCTACAGAGAGAGGTCAACCGAAAAGACTTGCTAATCACTCAACGCCGGACGGCTATCTATATAACTGGAGCATACAGAACCGGGCATCCACTGGGGCACTTTTAGTAGTAGCACGGATTCCCCCATCCACATAAGGGCTAGACAAAGAATGGAAGAGAGGTCAACTGAAAAGACCAACGCTAACACGACTATGCTCGAAAGATGGCAGGAATGGTGGCAAGGAGAAGCAGACACAGGACTGTGGACGGGCAGACTTATCCCGGATATAGCTCCCTGGTTTTCGAGGAAACATGGTGATACCACGTACCAGCTGACACAGCTACTAACAGGGCACGGGTGCTTCCAGACTCACCGCAAACGCTTCCATGTAAGCAATAGCGACTCATGCATATACTGCGAGGAAGGTGACACCGTCGAACATACACTCTTCACCTGTATGAGATGGCATCAAAAAAGACAAGAAGACGTAATAAACAAGATGCTGGAGGATGCAAAAATTTGGACTAAGATAAGCTCCCTGACCAAATACATAATTGACACGAAGGAGAGAGACATCAGGGTGAGAGAAAATAGACAGTGATGAGGAAAAAAAACTAAGAACAATAAGCATCCTCTTTCTAAAGTAATGCCCCAAAGCAGTTCCAGAAAGAGCCACTTGAATGCTGAAGAGGGGTTTTAGTGGGTAGGCTGTGACAGAGTCATGGAGTCCCACACTTCGAGCAGGAGCGTTCTCCTCAGGAAAAAAACCTTGTATAACTACTTTGACATTATTGGAACCCTTTTTGTATTCTAATGAAGCGAGTGTATCCAAGTCTATGTCTAGGCACCGATTTTGATTCATTTTATATTCTATGAAAAATTTTCGCTACCTACCTACGATTTTTTTAAATGCAGAAATGTAATTTACAATTCAGAAATTTCAGTAGTCACAAAAAGTTTGATTCATGCTCTTGCAATAAATGCAATGATTCAGTTTTATTACAGGAGATCATGATTAAATTTATCGGAACTTTCATACAAGGTGTTCATTTGTAACTATTCATCATAACCATTTGAAAACTGTCATAAATATGTGAATAGTTTTCAAATGGAAACCCCACAAATCCAGACATTTGGTATAAAATAATTCCCTGTACTTGAAAGGGACGGTTTCAGTAATATTCAGACAGTAAGAAGAATCACTTTGATAAAATGAATAAAAAGATGATTCTCGAAGTGGTCGACCTACAGTAATAAAGGACGAGGGTTTTTCCACCAAACGTATTTGAGGAACTCTACCATTAAATGTTCAAAATGAAGATGCCTATCGCGAACAGAATATCACACCGTTTAAGTTTCTTACCCATTCTGTTATCTCGGCATCTCTCTCAGCAAATTTAAGAGCTTCTGGAATGGTTAAGTTGATGTGGGGCAATTGGTTGCTCACTTTCAAGCTATCATGAATACTGTTTCCTTCCAACATACTTTCAGCAAGTATCACAATTAATTTGATGCTTATGCATTTCTCTGGATTGTTCATCTGAAAAGTATAGTAGTTCTAATTGTAAGCAAATCAAAATTAAATGTGACATGTGAATCAGTGTCACAATATTTTATGCTCCAAAATAGTGAATTTTTTAGGTTTTCTTGTATACTTACAGTTACTTTATATTGATTACATTTTGCAGCTATTAGAATCGCAATCAGAGTACATGCGTTGCTTCCTTTATTGACATTTTGTATATTGTAATGAGACTGGGAAAAATTTGGTTCGAACCACGTAACACATAATTTGTCTTCGTACAAGCATTCCGTTTCGTATTTTGGAAAGAATGGAAGTTCCACGCTGATGTCTGACACCATTGTTCATTTTCTTCTTGGAATTTTGTTTCATATTATGATAAGAGGTTGATATTAATCCAGAGAGGAGACGATTTTGACAGTTGCTTCCATGACAGTTACATATGCAAGCAAAGTTTATATTATGTCTTAGGTGTTATGTGTTATCAATAACCGTTTTCAAGAAATAAATATTACTGTGTAGCGATCGAAATGAGAAATGTTTCTCTTTTTTCATTTAAAAAATCAGTCACTGCATTTTCAACTTTCAAAATTTGCTTTTGTTCGTTTTAAGTCGATAAGTAAGTTTTAAGGATTTTGGTTGATTTTATAACCAACAGATGGTAGCACTTTGATCATCCCGTGAAGGACACAGTAGTTCATCGTTTATTTGTCAATTACAGCTGTACCAACGATCTTTGCGTATTACGAGGTCTGAAAATTGCATGAAGATAGTGTAAACAGGATGTTTATCAATTCTGTTTTATTTTCGGTGAAATTATTAAAGTAAAAAGCAAAAGGAAAACAAGCCTTGGAGATGCTTGAACAAAAATCATTGGTTTTTTTGGTAACAACAGAACTGCCAATTATGATGAGTTGATTGTATCTTGATTGTATCTATATACATAGATTTTTGTAGCCACTGTAATGATATGTATTACAATACAAGCATTTTTCGACGTTTGCCTCCGATAAAAACATCATCAATGTGTGTGTAATTTCAAAAAGCTATAATCCAGTATCTTAGAACTCAAAGATACACCAACTCCACACATCTTTTGAAAATTTGCAACTAGAGTGGTTTCCAGTGGTTTTGTATAATTATGCAACTGTTCAAAATCCAATTTTAATGGAATATAGTTTGTTTCTGATGTTTTCTGACAAATAAAAAAGTGCAGGATTTAAATATCAGTAGTTCCAACATGATGCAGCTCCTCCAAATCGAAGAACTATTGGCAGAGATTTCCTCAATACGAATATGCCAGGACAATGGATAGGAAACACTGGTACTATTAAATGACCCCCACGTTCACCGGAACTGACCCTTCTGGACTTTTCATTGTGGAGCTTCATTAAAGACAAGGTAGTCCTCCTAACTTTGAAAAATATGAAAGAAACAATAAGGATGGCTTGCTTGGCTATAACCCTGTTTTTGTGTTCAATTACCGAAATTGGTATGTAACGGCCTACATAAGAATGAATCATAGTTCGTGAATAACTGTGAATAAATGGAGCTGATTCATATTATTGGTTAATAATGTTATTGTTTCAATTGTTGGTGACTGGGTTGATTAAAAAATAACCACTACTCTCTCTCAAAGTATTTTTGTTTCATTTGAAGATTGGTACTAACCAATTGAAATCAGGGGAATTTATTCGCGACCAAAGCAAGTGAGACGGCCTGCAAGTTTCCACTTCTACGTCAAAAGTTAAAATTTTAAAGACATTTTCATAATTCACTCCTGTTTCTCCTGTTTCCCAATTCGAAAAAGCTACTACCTTACAGAAGTTCGTCAGGAGGTTGAAATTTATTCAGTATAAACTTGAATAAAAGTTGCAAAACTCTCTTTACTCTTTTTGCAACACACGAAATATGGTTAGGTAATTTATCAGGTGTAGTCCAAGTAATCTTTATTGTGAATAGTTAAAGCTATCGGCATCTCAAAGGCAAAAAAAAACAATACAGAGAAATAATGCCGCTACGAACTAGTCCACGTGGACTGAAGAATTGGCGGTTCGTTTTGGATAATTTTTACCAACAGAGTTTTATGATTGGCTGAAGAGTCATAAAATTAAATTTGAAGTCATGTTACGGTGACGAACAGAATATGGGAATGAGTATCGCCGTTGTGTCGTCAATGTTCAGTTCAGGAACTGATCGCGATTTGAGTGTTGAAATTCGATATTGGTGCAGTTAAAATTACTTAAAATTTCTGTTATCTGTTTAAAATGTGGCGTCCTTGGAGAAGTACTAATAGTAATAACGAGTGTGATAACAACGCAGACATTTTCTAGTGTAAAGGTCTCTTCGTGGCTTCGAAGTTGGATGGGAACTCCAAGAATTTGTTTCAGTTTTGCTTTCTACAAGAAGTAGGTAGCTATACTTCCATTGCCCAATACCATTTGTTCCAAGGTGAGGCCGAATGTATCATTTTGTGAGACTAAATAGTCATTCAATTCAACTTTGCCACAATTGAAATCTTCACGTAATTACAAAAATACCGAGCATATCTGCTTCTCTGGAAACCAATAAGCAAATAATTCCCCGTTTCCCCTCCTTTTTCATATCGACAGAAATTCGAGATCATATGATATTTGGTACGCGCAGGCTTTACTTTTTGATGCATGAGCAGAAAGACAATCAGTTCAAAGTTCTTGGGTCAGTTCTCAACATGGCTGTCACGGACGCGTTTAAGATAATTTTATTATTTATTGTTGCTTACGCTAGTTATACCAAAGCCGAAAGTAAAGTTGTTTGTTACTATGACAGCAAAGCATATTTCAGAACAGGTGAGCGTCATTGATAGAGTTTGTTGTTGTCTACAACGGTAAAAATATTTTTTATATTTGAACGGTTCATTAGGAGAATGACTTGAACCAGTTTTGATTTATTGGTCAATATTTTCTCATATATATTTTTCAAAATGTTTCCTCGAATGTCAGACATATATTAGAAAAATTCCAGAAGGTTTTANCAAAATCGTCTTCCATGAGCTCCTGAGTAGGTATCATTTTATAGGGATGCATTTTATTTCCATTTTATATGTTTAATATCGATGTATGGCTAACATTGAATGTAGTGGATGCCTGTAGTGGATGCCTGTAGTGATGTAGTGGATGCCTGTCTACTAGATGTATGTAGGTTTTCCTCAAACTCAAAGCATCACATCTAATTTTAGTTTTATTGCATTACATTGGCAGCTGCTTTTTTATCTGTCGCACATGACCAAACTCGCAAAACTGCTTCTTCATTTGCTTATTGTTCCTTGAGATATGGGCGGTAAATTAGTAAATTTCTCTTGAAATAGGCGAACCACTTTCTGTTGTGTTCGGGTTTCATCTCCTTAACCAATCATTTGTAAAACTGTTATTTTATGCATCTCCGCCAATCTAACCATTCGTCAGACTTAAAGTTAACGAACTGTAAACTTGAATTAAAATACTCACAACTAATATTGTAACATATAAAACAAGTTGATAAGTCGTTTTAAATTAACATTGCCACGGAAATTATTTACAGTTTTTCAAGGATACCATCTGAAAAGAATATTGCTATGGGTTATGCTAACTTTTTTATTATCAATACCCCAACATGAAATACGTTTTGAGTATATTGCAATAAGTTTTGAGTGTATTTTATCGAATTTCGATAACCAAATGCTTTTAATTTATTGTATCTCAATTGTTGTACTAAATTCGAAAACGATAACATTTTTGAATAGAGAATAAAGCTACCTTTCAAACGATATATCACAAGCCATAAATAATGAATTTATTCCATTTGGCTTTCACACACAGTATTTTTATCAGTGGGCGAGGCTTGGTTTCTCTTAATTGTATTATCTAACTTTGTTTGTGTACCTGTAAGGACAGGCAGCCAGATTTCATTGATGTTCATTGCCTCTTATTTTCTATTGGAATTATTCCTAAGTTTTTGAATTTCTTTTGCTCTGCATACTTTTGGAATGTCGGATACAGTTACTTCGTCAGTTTGCCCAAGTCAACAATTTCTCTTGTGTTCATAGAGATTAGTACCCACATTTCTTTTCGTGGTTCCAAGGAATTCGGTATACCCCGGGCGTTGCTTAAGGTTCTCTGAACTCATTAGCTGAACTTAGACTTTGTCTGATAGTTTTTGTTTCCCTAAATATTGGTTTCACGTCTTGTTTCCCTAAGATTCCCCCAATCTGGTCAGTAACATTCTTAACATAGGGAAGGAAAGCTTTCCCCTTGACCAGCCTAGTTGAGGTTACTTTGGCGTTTTCACTCCTGGGTCGTATGACCTCTGCTCCAATTCTCCTTCGCTGTACTGTAATGTCTACCACAGTAATAGACGAATCGTCAAGCATAAAAACCTGCAGACCATAGCCAAAACAATTCGGAAAAATGCTTTCATACAATTATTTTTCTGTTCAGGAAGTTCTTGAGATCACAAATAAGCTTCTATCTAGGATTAATTTATTCCTACAATCTCTAAATTATGAAGAAACTGTTGCCAATGCCAATGGAAGGTTTCTTGCCCGCATATTGCGGGCGTATTCACCAAAAAAGGCGAGCACGAACGAACATACACATGCTCGCTCGTGCTCGCTTCTGCTCGCTTTTTTGTTGAATACGCAACTTAATATTCTACTCTGATCATTAGTAACCCAGTTAAAGTCCCACTCAACAACCAAAATGAAACTGAATTCACGCTTTCCGCACTATATCTTCCCAGAATGGAGTTCACAACATTAAAATCTAAAGGTGCGTATTCGCCAAAAAAGCGAGCACGAGCGAGCATTAGCATTCGTGTATGTTTGCTCGTCTTCGCTCATGTTCGCTCGTGCTCGCTTTTTTGTGAATACACACCTTTAGACGAAGCTTTCATACACGCAGTCGAGCCGCATTAAAATCATTCGAGTCCCAAGCACACTGCTGTTTGGGACTTGTGAAGGGAGGGCCCCATATATTCACGCCGGTATCCAGGCCGGGGTTGTTCGGCTAACCACGTAAAAGGTGCTATGTATGTGAAAAAAACCTGAAGGTCTTCTGAAGAGGAGGCGATCTTAAAAAATGTTAATGTTTTTTTGGTAGCATTGCTGCGCAATGAATCTCCTGTCAACTGACAGATGGAAACTGGCAAAAAGTAAGGCCTCATTAGTATTTAGCTCGAACAAGTTTCGACTTTTGAGAGTTGTCGTTCGTAGAGGAGCGATAGCTGGTTGACGGGAAAACAGATTTTAACAGATTCTTCAGCAGATCAACATCCGACAAATCTTAGTATCAACCAATCAACCGAAATCTCTTCAGCATGCCAATATGACTGCCGTAGATGATATTTCAGATGATGATCCGCAGGTTCAATACCAGAGCAATACATTCCAGACTGCATGGCTACATGTTAGGTAGGAGGAACACAAGAGTGTCTCCCAAGCTAGCAGGTGCACCTTTTCAAGCCACCTGATACAGACTAACTGGCGATCAGGCAGTTGTGTGAGAAAAGTATACCAGGGTTGACCAGATGGGGTGGATTGTTTTTTACAAGTGAATTATTGATCCACAGGTTTGATTCCAGAGTAACACATTCCAGACTGCATGGCTACAGGTTAACTGGGAGGAACACAAGAGCGTCTCCCAAGCTACCAGGTGCTAGCTTGGGAGACGCTCTTGCGTCATAGGATACCAACTTTCCAAGACACCTGGTGCAGAGTAACTGCCCATTAGGTCCTTACTTGTTTGAGAAGAATGCATCATGGTTTGTCTGCTTTGGAGTGAATTGTTTTTCACAAAGAAATTCAGGACCTGGTAGAGCAAATAATTTGTGCCTGCTTCTCCATACTCAAGCTAGCTGACTCGAAAAATCAGCTACCAAAAAGTAAAAGGATTCGTTTAGTATAGATAGGTGTGAGCCACACTAAACTCCCGCAGGTTGCGAGGGAGTGAGTAGAATCACTCACTTTTTGACGTACAACTGACTACCTACATAATTTTTCGATACACTTTGAATAATACTGCTCCTGAAAGAGTTCACAATAGACCTCTGTATCATGAATTATCTTCTCATTCAAGATTGATTTCTTGCTACCAAGAAATTTCCTCTAGTTTGAGGACGTTAGCATCTGATAAGAAGTATCTCTTAGCGAAAGTCTTCGATTTCCAGGCATTGCGATTGTCGATTTGTATGGAATTGTTTTGTTCTGATTACAGGAATTTCAAGCCGTGCTTTTGCATCTACGAGTACATAAAAACACATAAAAGTCTTTGTGACCAAATGTATCACCAATTCTTACCCAACTGTCCTTTATTCATCTTGTATTGATTTTGAAACTTTCCCCCATATGAATAATATTTTTTAATCAAAGTCGATGTGTCGTTCCCGTTCCGAATGTGGTAACTACGATCCTTATTTTTGACTCTGGTCTTATACAGTGTGTAAAAGCCAAATGGAATAAGTTCATTATTTCGGTTACTGTACATATTTAAAAAATTCCGAAACACGTCAAATTTAAACTATATTTTGACATTCTTCAACGTAAAAATGCCACCCCTACCTTTAACCCCCTTCGAATGACAGGTACAACCCCCCAATTTTTTAAATAGGAAGTATAGGTTTGTTATATATCGTTCGGAAGATCTCTTCATTCTCTATTCAAAAATGTTATCGCTTTCAAGTTTTTTACAACAATTAGTTGTAATAAACTTGTAATTAATCATCTGGTTACCGAAATTCGATAAAATACACTTAAAAACTAAAATGTAATGTAAAACGTAATGAAATGTAGAATACGAAAAAGAACTATGGATGTTACCGAAGTAGATGTTCAAAATATTAACCGCGAACGTCTTGGCAACATCCTAATCTCAAATAAAACTCTCTTCTAACATTATTTAACATATCAGACGTGACCGAACTAATGGCAAGCGTTATTCGTTTTTTCAAGCCATTCAAATCCGAAGGTTTAGTTTTGTATACATTGCCCTTTACATATCCCCATAAAAAGAAATCTAATGATGAAAGATCAGGTGCTCGCGCTGGTCATTCAATCGATCCCCGCCTCCCTATTCACCGATTGGGAAATGTATCAAGGTATTGCCGGACATTAACTTGGTAATGTGGTGGTGCTCCATCCTGCTGAAACCATCGTATTCACTGGAACTTGATGGTTTCCTGGATCAGGATATAAATTTGCTAAACTTGCAATGACATCATTTTGAAGTAGTGCCAAATAATTACCGTCATTCAAGTTGCCTTCAATGAAAAAGGGACAAATGATATGGTTTCCTACAATCCCTACTCGAATATTAACCTTTTGACGGTATTGTGTGTGTTCTTCTCTCACCCAGTGGGGATTTTCCATTGACCAGTAGCGGCAATTTTGCCAATTAGCATGATCGTTAAGAGACAAAGTACACTCATCAGAAAACCTAACGTCTTCTAATTGGATGATATTGTTATCCAACATGTCCATCATTTGCTTACAAAAATAAGTTCTTCTATCAAAATCGTCTTCCATGAGCTCCTGAGTAGGTATCATTTTATAGGGATGCATTTTATTTCCATTTTATATGTTTAATATCGATGTATGGCTAACATTGAATGTAGTGGATGCCTGTAGTGGATGCCTGTAGTGATGTAGTGGATGCCTGTCTACTAGATGTATGTAGGTTTTCCTCAAACTCAAAGCATCACATCTAATTTTAGTTTTATTGCATTACATTGGCAGCTGCTTTTTTATCTGTCGCACATGACCAAACTCGCAAAACTGCTTCTTCATTTGCTTATTGTTCCTTGAGATATGGGCGGTAAATTAGTAAATTTCTCTTGAAATAGGCGAACCACTTTCTGTTGTGTTCGGGTTTCATCTCCTTAACCAATCATTTGTAAAACTGTTATTTTATGCATCTCCGCCAATCTAACCATTCGTCAGACTTAAAGTTAACGAACTGTAAACTTGAATTAAAATACTCACAACTAATATTGTAACATATAAAACAAGTTGATAAGTCGTTTTAAATTAACATTGCCACGGAAATTATTTACAGTTTTTCAAGGATACCATCTGAAAAGAATATTGCTATGGGTTATGCTAACTTTTTTATTATCAATACCCCAACATGAAATACGTTTTGAGTATATTGCAATAAGTTTTGAGTGTATTTTATCGAATTTCGATAACCAAATGCTTTTAATTTATTGTATCTCAATTGTTGTAATAAATTCGAAAACGATAACATTTTTGAATAGAGAATAAAGCTACCTTTCAAACGATATATCACAAGCCATAAATAATGAATTTATTCCATTTGGCTTTCACACACAGTATTTTTATCAGTGGGCGAGGCTTGGTTTCTCTTAGTGCGTATTCACCAAAAAAGCGAGCACGAGCGAGCATTAGCATTCGTTTATGTTTGCTCGTGTTCGCTCATGTTCGCTCGTGCTCGCTTTTTTGTGAATACGCACCTTTAGACGAAGCTTTCATACACGCAGTCGAGCCGCATTAAAATCATTCGAGTCCCAAGCACACTGCTGTTTGGGACTTGTGAAGGAAGGGCCCCATATATTCACGCCGGTATCCAGGCCGGGGTTGTTCGGATAACCACGTAAAAGGGGCCATGTATGTGAAGAAAACCTAAAGGCCTTCTGAAGAGGAGGCGATCTTAAAAAATGTTAATGTTTTTTTGGTAGCATTGCTGCGCAATGAATCTCCTGTCAACTGACAGATGGAAACTGGCCAAATGTGCCCGAGTGGGAAGCAACGGCCATACAAAGAAAGAGAGAGTACTTCTAGAGGCCTTCATTTCCAAGGTTATAAATAGTTCTTGTGATCTGGATACATTGAAATAGTCATTCGCTTGTTATTCATGAATCTATTAGTTGAGTCATTGTAAACAATTTTGTTGCATGAAACAGCTACCGAGTAATGACATTACCTCTTTATTACCAAGCAGATCACCTTGACAAAATTTATTAATTCTTGCAGCGATTCGACCCTGATAAAACCAACTGATTATCATAAATTTCAAGAAACAACTCGCTTTTTTTCGTAACTATTGAAATGTAAACCACCAAATGAATAATTAGTTTGAAGTCAATAAATGATTACTGAGAAACAAATGAGCAGTTGTTTATATACTGGATGATAACTCATGTTGGGTAATTGTGAATGAGGCCACCTTTGATGAGGTTGGATACCCCTTTGAATCTCACATACAATTTGAACCAAAACAAACATTTTGATAGTTCGTACTGGAACCTCCCGTTTATAGTCGGGGTGACAAGATCCTTTTTTTTGGAACTTCTGTCCAAGGGCTCCGAAAATTATGATCCGAAGCTCATTCGATTCGGAATGACCTCTAGCAACTTTTTGGAAAATTTCAAGAGGGGCTCGAAAAACTTGCCAAAGTTATAAACAATTCAGTAAAAAAAGGAGGTTTGGTTTTTTGCTAGTATCTCGGAAAATATTGAAGATATCCGAAATTTGAAAAAAGATTCTTAAAGAGGAGCAAATTTACTAAAAAAAGACAGTGTCTTTGTCCTATCTCCATTAGTTTATGTGTTATTTTAATAACAATGATTGAGAACCCATTATTNCATGGTTCATATTTACTAGCAAAAAAATGTTGATCAACAAATGCATTTTTAAGCAATACAATTTTTTTAAGAAACGATTTCGTTTTTAAAAATCATAATATTCATCATTGATGGAAATTCCACCAAAAAAGTTTCAAATATCTTAAAATTACGAAAAATCATTTTTGTGTAACTTTAAATAATAAGAATACGAATGAATTTGAATATTAAAAAAAATATTTTTATTGCTTTAATTGAATTTTTCACTTTTTACTGTCTTTGTCATTTAAAATAATGGTATTATATGGGTAATGTTGAATAAAAATAATATATAGTTATCAGCAGTCAGTTTTTTAGAATGGTTATCAGCTATTTTATATTCAAGATCCAAGCAGAAAAAAGTATTGTATGCCAATGAAGTGAAACAAAAAAGTAATAAAAGTAAGGAAAGCAATATATGGTTTCATAATCTGGTAAAAAAATGAGGTCTATTTGAAATTTTCTCAAAAATTGTTCATTTATTCATCAATATCTATTCTGTGCCCTAAAGAGTAGCTCCCCTCAGATATAATACACTTGTGCCGTTTTCTTCAATCCTCGAAGCCGTGAGATGCACTTTTCGGGGACCAAATCTGGTGAATATGGTGGCTGAGGCATGATTCCGATGTTGTTTTTGGCCAAAAAACTTTTGGTTGTTTCTCTCACTCTAAATAATTTTAATTGCCGGTTTGAACCAAGTATTTTGAACTTTCAACAATTCAAAAATTCATTTGATATTTTTTGTTTGAAAATCTTTCTGTAAACTCTTCATTATTATCGAAGTAACGGTCCAATATAAACTGATAATTGTTATGGAATATTGATTATTCAGTCTCTGAACTCGATTCAATTATGACTATGACTATTTTTGATTTGATTCAAAATATCTGATACTATGTTCAATATTTTTATTTCTAGGACAAGGGAAATTTGACATTCCCTTCCTCGAACCAGCCCTTCAATTTTGTACCCACTTGATTTATGGATATGCCGGAATCAATCCAACTACCAACAAAATCATGCCCTTGAACGAAAAGTTCGACGTGAACGGAGATAATTACAGACATATCACGGAGCTGAAAAGGAGGTTCCCCGGACTGAGAGTTCTTCTTTCAGTAGGCGGCGGCAAAGATGTATCTGGAGAAGATAAGGAGAAAAATATGATATACAGGACGATTGTAAGTTCAGCATTTTATGAACTATTCTGTAAGTTAGGAGAGTGAACTCTTAATCTAGAATTAGAATGATAATTATGTCACGAAGATCTAGTCAAAATTTGCATTCTCACATATGGAAACGTGATCATCTCCTGATGATATCTCGGTTGTCAAAACGTACATCGAAAGTAGTGTTTTTAGAGTTCCCTTGTGTGGTGACACAATTTCGGAAGATTGTAATGTAGTTATGATATAAAAGTTGCCTGTACTCTGTACGGACCAGACGAAGCTCTCTGGCTTACAAAGACAGGCTTGTCTTGCCATCGGTGGTGCCATTAGTACTACACCGTCAGCGGCCATGGAGATCCTTCTAGATTTACCCCCTCTCCACATTTTTCTGGACTGCATAAAGATTTGTGCACATTGCCAATTACACACATCAATTTAATGCAGAGTGCAACAGACTGTTGGTTGATTGACACAGCATTCTGGAAATGACCTCTGACTTTATGCTTCCAACTGTCAACTACGAACTGTCTTATGAACTACTGTTCCCGAGTAGAGAGGACTGGATCCTCCGGGAGAAGGAAATAGTAAGGGCAGATTGTTGTTGGTTCACAGATGAATCAAAAACACATGCTGGTTCTGGTGCAGGTGTTTTCAGTCGCAGACCCAGGATAGAGATATCAACCTAACTAGGAACCTATGCGGCTGCATTTCAAGCGGAAATTTACGCTATTGAATTGTGTGCAGAGAGATTGGAAGAGTCCAGCCTAATACACAAGTCAATAAAAATATTCTCGGACAGTCAAGCGGAGTTGGAAGTTCCTGATGGCTCCCACCGAGCAACGTCTAAATTAGTAGCAAATTGCCTAAACGACTCTCCTCGATAGGAAGACTTAACATATTATCTCTGGTCTACATTCCTGGCAATACTGACCTGGGAGGCAATGAAGCTGCTGACTCTCTTGCAAAGGAGGGTGCTGCAAGCAGCTTCATCGTTCCAGAACCTGTGTGAACAGCCACAACAAACCTACTCACTTTAGACCTAACCAAACCTAACCTAACATAACATATATACTTCATATGGAAAGATACTTCATATAGAAACTTCGGCAGAAGCACTATTTCGTGATTATATGATTTTTGAATGTTTCATTCCTCCTCCCCGTATTGGTTGAAATAAAATCAATCACCATTGTGACGTTTGGTAACAAAACCATTTTCTATTTCAGATCGAATCGGTGGATAGTCGTCTAGTCTTCGTTAATTCTGCAAAGGATTTGGTTAAGAATTACGGATTCGATGGTCTTGATTTGGCTTGGGAATTCCCCGAGACAAAACCAAAGAAAATACAGAGTGGATTCAGTAAGTACCATAAATGACTCCTGAATGAATAAATTCGTAAAAGCTTGATACAGTGCTTCAAAAAAGTAAAGGATATTTGATAATTAGATATTCACCTAATAATACAAGAAAATCCACATTCAACTCTTCTGGCGAACGCTACACAAATGATATGATTTGAAGATTCAGCGAAAAGATCAATTATTGCATGGCGTTAAAAAAAATGAACAAAATAATCAGAAGTAACGAGGCAACAAAATTCAACTGACTTAGCCATAAGTGATTTGAAGTCAAAGAGATACAAATAATAGACAAAACAAGCACTACAGGAAACTTTTTGAGGCGTTCTAAGATCGGTGACTATGCGAAAATGGCGATTCACGTTTGGTTTGAATCGCTGGAGAATAAATTCATTTGAAAAAACGTTCTTAGGAAGTTTATTTCTCATAAACGCAGTTCTCTAAATGAAAGTGAAGTTTGAGATGTACTGAGTTGAACTTCAAAACGATGATATATACCGCTATTGGTGGAATCAAATGTGCCAAGTCACTTGAACACCTTCCATGAAAGTATCTATAAAAGTGAGACAAATCTCCAACCTTTCTTCGATGTTCCAGGCTATCAAGATTGTACGTGATGTTCGCGTCTCTAATCAGCCCATTTTAGCCCCCAACGAACTTATCGAAGCAGAAAGCGGAATTGTTTGTCCTGACATTAATATATCCGGTTGGATACATTAATCTTTTTGGAGAAAACTGGTGCCTGAGTTTTAGTAGCATTGAATGAACCTGGTTACCTTTACCCCAATTCGAAATAATCTCTAGGTCCTCATTAAGATATGCAAACTCCTGCTGCCGGTGAAGATGAGCATCCGCAGTCGATGTTTTTGAATCCAAATTGTATGACGAGATAAGTGTATTGTCATCAGCAAAGCAATATATTGGAATCTCGTTTTTTTTCCAAAAAGTAGTTGATATACAATAAACACACACAGGGTTGGAGACCATATGGATCCCTGGGGAACACCAGCGTTGATGGTGAAAATATTCGAGAAATATCCATGGACGGTCACTCGCACGGAACGTTATTTCAGGAAGCTAGAGAGCCATACACAAACATGATCGAACAAGCTATAGCATCTAAGTTTGGCCAGCAATGTACTGACTGTTATCATCTACAATCGTCTTCGGGTTGTGACTGATTTATCCCTGATGACTTCAGATTATTCGTGGGTCAATTTATTCGCGCTTTTTTATGGTTCATTTTCACCCTTTCTATGGCTCAATCAAATAGTTTCTCTTGGTTTCGATCACCACGCTGGGTTGACTAGATACATTATTGTTCGAAAAGTGGGATTTTTCGAAGTTCCACAGCATTTATCTCTATATATAAAATCACCTCGCACTCAGATTGTTGGTCTGGACATGTTCCATTTTTCAAACTTGAAGTTTTCATCTCGTCGATTGTTTTTTCTTTTACTTGTCTAACCGGGCCATTGCCAGTCTCTTGATTCAATTGATTTAGAACTTGTTGCATTCACTTGGTATTCCGTAAATGCGGTGCTTGGTATCGTTGTTGGTGTTTGATTTTCATGAAGCTATTATTGCCCCTAGATTCTATTTTTATCTTGCCAGTATTGCCACACAAATCTTTGACATAAGAAATGTATAGCTCTCGCTTCATGGCTGACCTGCTATGGTTTCTAGCCGCTGTCTCTCTCACTAGCTCCTTTCAGTATTAATTCTATGTTTTTGCATGGATCGCAAGCAAGATCCATTAGGGTTTTCACGATTCCTTTTTTTGTAGATTGATGGTGGTACTCTCCATTTTTAATTGGTTCCTAGTAGACATTTATCATTTTGATGAACTTGGTACTACAACTGTAATGACGGACTCATCCTAAAGTTCATGTTTCCAAACAAAAAGGGTGTACAACACTAAGTCCTCTCATTGTTGTCCTCTCGTAGACGGTCTAGTCACTGTTCGTCTGTGACGGATCTTCTTTCCCTAGCTAGTGGGATTCTTCATGAACTATGAAGTAAGCAAGGAACCTCGTCACAAGATGGTCGTCGACTAAACGACACCAATTGTCCTTCCGTTAACATCACATAAAGAGCGAGAGCTTCTCAGTAGTCCATCAAATGATCCTATTAACAAATCTATGAGACTGAGCGGTGCAGCCAGGAAGCTTTCATGTACCAAATTCTCAAGCGATTGAAGCAGAATCTACATCAGGAGAAGAAACAAACTTGAGCAGGTCAGCAAACGCAAACGCTCAAACTATGATTCACTAAAACCAGACTCATATAGCTGTTACACAGATGTCCTTATATGGGAATGTTCCCGCAGTCACTGAAGGCTTTGTGCGGTGGGACGGTAGCCGATCGGGTTGACGTGGGTGGTTTGCTCCACTGATCCAATCGACCGCTGTGTGAACCCGTGGTTCAAGCTACCGGACTATTGATTTTCACTTCCTATCATCCAAAGTGTACTAGGGATCACACGTAAAAAAAGTAAGGCCTCATTAGTATTTAGCTCGAACAAGTTTCGACTTTTGAGAGTTGTCGTTCGTAGAGGAGCGATAGCTGGTTGACGGGAAAACAGATTTTAACAGATTCTTCAGCAGATCAACATCCGACAAACCTCAGTATCAACCAATCAACCGAAGTCCCTTCAGCATGCCATTATGACTGTCGTAGATGATATTTCAGATAATGATCTGCAGGTTCAATACCAGAGCAACACATTCCAGACTGCATGGTTACAGGTTAGCTAGGAGGAACACACGAGTATCTTGTAGTATCTTGCAGCTATGAAATGCGTCATATGAGATCTACATTTTGAACCACCTGACGCAGACTAACTGCCGATGAGGCAGTTGTGGAGTGGATTGTTTTTCACAAGTGAATTATTGATCCACAGGTTCAATTCCAGAGCTAAACATTGCGGACTTTATGGCCACAAGTTACCTGGGAGAATCACGAGAGCATCTCCCCAGCTAGCAGGTGCGGATATTATCTTGTAGCCATGAAATGCGTCATAGGATACCAACTTTCCAAGACACCTGATGCAGAGTATCTGCCCATTAGGTCCTTACTTGTTTGAGAAGAATGCACCATGGTTTGTCTGCTTTGGAGCAGATTGTTTTTCAAAAGAAATTTCAGGACCTGGTAGAGCGAATAATTTGTGCCTGCTTCTACGTACTCAAGTTAGCTGACTCGAAAAATCACCTACCAAAAAGTAAAAGGATTCGTTTAGTACAGATAGGTGTGAGCCACACTGAACTCCCGCAGGTTGCGAGGGAGTGAGTAGAATCACTCACTTCTTGATGGACAACTGACTACCTACTCAATTTTTCGATACACTTTGAATAATACTGCTCCTGAAAGAGTTCACAATAGACCTCTGTATCATGGATTATCTTCTCATTCAAGATTGATTTCTTGCTACCAAGAAATTTCCTCTAGTTTGAGGACGTTAGCGTTTGATAAGATGTATCTCTTAGCGGAAGTCTTCGATTTCCAGGCATTGCGATTGTCGATTCGTATTTGTTCTGATTACAGGAATTTCAAGCAGTGCTTTTGCATCTACGAGTACATAAAAATCTTTGTGTCCAAAGGTATCACCAATTCTCACCAACTGTCTTTTATTCATCCTGTATTGATTTTGAAACATTCCCCCATATGAATAATAAAAATTCTCATTTTTTTCAGAAAAATTCTGGTCAGGACTCAAACACACGTTCGTTAGCGAGTCTGTGATTGATGAAAAAGCAGACGAACACAGAGAACAATTTACTGCTTTCGTGAGAGAATTCCGAAACAATTTCAGACATGACGGACTTCTGTTGACATACGATGCACGTCAGATCGCTCCCCACATCGATTTTGTGACTTTGCAGAATTTTGATTTCTATACTCCGCAACGAAATCCCAAAGAAGCGGACTATACAGCTCCACTTTATGAACTCATCGACAGAAAAATCGACGAAAATGGCGACTATCAAGTCAGATACTGGTTAGTATTTTAATTATCAACCGAATTTTCTCGAAATGGAACACATATCATGACGACCTCTCACCATATTTATCAATGATGTTTACAAAAACAATATCTGTTTATAACTTGCAGATGTGCCTCATTTCTCGGATATCATATCATTTTATAAATATCTGTGTGATAAATATTTCCAGAGATCGGACCCCCAAAGACCGGCTTATTTATTATTGAATTTTCAAAATTTGTCATTTGCTGTTCCAGACTTTTATATAACGATGAAAAATAGATTTACTGCTTTGTTGCAACAAATTCATTACATTGAGCATTATCTGGTATGATAACAAGAAAAAAATCGCTTGGGGCCAGATCAGGAGAATGCGGTGGATGCGGAAGCAATTTTGTCTTCGTTTTCATTGATTTGTGACACGGTGCATTATCTTGATGGAACAGTTCTTCCTTCTTCTTCAATTTCGTCCTTTAAACACTACAAAAACGCTATGTAATAGTCGCTGTTGATAGCCGACTGTTGTGTCTTTGCACGCTTTGGAGTCGGTTCACCACGTCCAGTTCACTCAGAGGACGAAAGTTTTGATTCTGGTGTGACGTGATGAATCCGTGTTTCATCCATTGTCACATATCGATGTATGAATTCCGGTTTGTTATGTTTGAACATGGCTAAACACTGCTCAGAATCATCAATTCGTTGTTGTTCTTGGTCGATTGTGATCTCGCACGGCATGATTTACAACACTACCCCCTTCCCTGAGGTTGTTTGCCCCGAACAACATTGGATTCTGTACACCAGATCGTTCATCTTTTTGGTTACCAAGTGAGGTCCTTGTCATGGTCTCTGCAACTTGGGACACAAACGTTGGGGTTGGTAGAGCCCGTATCCCTGGACAAGGGACCCTTACAGGTTGCTACCCTCCGGGTCAGAGGGAACCCGAAGCGGCGGGGGGCAGGGGAGCTTATCTCCCTGTCAGAGCTGTCCATAAAGGAGTCTCTGCCCGCTACCTCATCACGTCTGGTGGAAATTTCTTCTTCTGGTAGCTGGGTAACCTTGTCCTCCTGGTTAATCCACAGTAATCTTTTGCAGGTCCGGTGATTCTTTCCGAAATTCCCGGAAAAACTCTTCAAACTTTTTGTCGACTCCTTCAAGCTTTTTCCAAGCTCTTCTTCAAATTTTCTTTCAAGTCATTCAAGCTTTTGTATGCTCTTCTTCAAATTTTCTTCCGATTCCTCCAAGCTCCTCCTCAAATTTCCTTTCAATTCCATCAAGCTTCTCATCGACTGCTTTCTCCAATCCTTCCTTTGTTTCCTGAGAAGTTTTTAAATCTTCAAATAAATAAAGGTACATCTTATTGTCTTTTTCTTGTGTGTCCTTGATATTTACCAATAATAACTATTATTTGAATGTCTATCACCTTACTAGATCACTTCGCGTACCGCACTGTAACATCCACTTAACTGTCCCGATATCCTCGTATCTAGCCTTTTAATATCGTAATCGAATGTCGTCGAAATTTTTCCGAAGTTCTGTCGAAGTCGTTAACATTATTGTCGCTGCTTCTCGATTGGCGGGGAATCATCGTTCACTCGCGCGCTCTTAGCCACGTCACGCCTAGTTTATGGCGACCAGTGGCGGCCGGCGTTATTTTCTTTCGGGCATGATTTACAACAATATCTTAAGAGCTTCACCTATCTCGATCAACTTCATTTTGCGGCCATCCAAAATTATTTTGAAGACTTTTTTGATGTTTACGTCGGTAACAGCCTCTTTGGGGTGTCCACTGCATTTCATCTCATTTAAACTTAGCAAACCACTTCACAACGGTTAATTTTCTTGGTGCAAAGTCCAAATAATGTTTATTCAATAGTTTATGGCGACCAGTGGCGGCCGGCGTTATTTTCTTTCGGGCATGATTTACAATAATATCTTAAGAGCTTCACCTATCTCGATCAACTTCATTTTGCGGTCATCCAAAATTATTTTGAAGACTTTTTTGATGTTTACGTCGGTAACAGCCTCTTTGGGGTGTCCACTGCATTTCATCTCGTTTAAACTTAGCAAACCACTTCACAACGGTTAATTTTCTTGGTGCAAAGTCCAAATAATGTTTATTCAACAGTTCATAAAAAAAGCAATACTTTATCAAAACATGAAATTTCTTTTTATCCATTTTTTTCAAACTACAAAAGTTGCTTCACTTAAAAAAATATATCCCACAAACTAATAATCCAACAGCTGTGAAATTTGTACACGTGTCTTTCGAAGGTTCGGGTTAACTAGAAATCGTATAGATTTAATACTAGTAGCGCCATCTGTATGTTAGCCCACGAAGTTTTCAGCCCATCTTATATTTTTTATATCTGCTTCACTCATCATTGTAATGTTATCTTCACAAACATATACCGAGACTTTTGTACCTTACCCATTCTTTCTAGAGGTTTCTTCACCTTGGATATGTCTTCATTTTTTCCAATACACATTTGGACGTATCCTCAATTTTTTTCTACTTATAATGATCATATTTGACTCATATTATTTCACATATCCCTTTTCTCAAGGTTGCAAAATGGAATGCCCAACAACAAAATAATTTATGGAATAGGACCATTCGGAAGATCATTTAAAATGACAGATGATTCTGGAATTACTGGTGTACCACCACTTACCATCGATGGACCTGGTGAGGCAGGTCCTTACACTGAAGAACCAGGTCTTTTGAGTTATAATGAGGTTTGCTCCAAGATCGCCAACAAGAATGAAATCAAGGCTGGTTATGTTGGAAAACTCAGAAAAGTCAATGATCCTACCAAAAGATTCGGTAAGGCATAAACGTTTTTCCGGATTATATCCAATTTTGTTACTAGTCGTAGTGTAGAATTATTTCATGAAGATATTTTGAACTGTTGGATCTGAAGCCCAAAACTGAAGTTACTAATTTAATCGGAATTTGATAGAATTTCGTTTTTGGTGCTTGCCAGTTTTCACCTGAATGAGGATTTTATTACATCGAATTGTATTTATTTACAGAATATTGGAATACTACTGATAGCGATGTTACAAAACGTTTCGGTAGGTACCTGTAGCGTCTCTTTGTCGTTTTCTAATACCTACTGATGGATAACTGACTCTAATAAAACAGTTCAGCATTTTGTAAGTGCATCATGTCAGACTTATTTCATGAGGAGGCAGTTCATCCTCATGAGATTTCTTCTATTTTGAAGGAAACTTGTTTTTGGTATGATGAAAATATGAAGAGGAACACCATTGATTCCTCGAAATATCATGGTGGTTCCAGAAGTACCCAGCCTGACCTAGAGATGGCGCTAGTTGTTTGAAAAATATCACTGTGTTAGAAAGTACACAATCTATTAAGCATATGTTTCAAGTTTGAAGACGCTGCGTTGTTTAGTACTTCTTTGGCAGCCATCAATAGCGAACGGTTTCGGTGAATTAGTGAAAATGGAGAAAATTGGTCATCGTTATGCTATGCAATACTTTTATTCGAAAGGCCTCAGCCCTGTCAATATGAAAGTTGCACTGGATTCTACTCTGGGGAATTTGCTTCTTCGTTTACAACAGTAAAATATTGGGTAGCAGAGTTAAAGGCCGTACGATCTGCCAAGACAAGTATTACAGTGGTCGACCAAATGAGGTGACGACTTCAGAAACGGCGAAGAAAATCCAGAAAGCGGTACTGATGGACCGTCTACTGAAAGTGGGTCGTTTCATAACCTTGGATGAAACATGAGTCCATCACTTTACACCCGAGACCATAAGGCAATCAAAATAGTGGACTCAAAAGAAAGAACCAGCTCCAAAGAAGGCAAATACCGTTTAATCTGCAGACAAGGTCACGGCAAGGTCAACTACAAATGAGCCTCGTCTTTGAACACAATTTTTCGATAAAAATGTGGATCTTCCTCCAACTTTGCCAGCGCCCATTCACCAAATGTTAGACGTTGTGGGAAGTCGTGTGGCTTCAATTCTTGCACCAGCTGTATCTTATAAGGTTTTACACCCAAATCCTTTCGCAAAATTTTCCACGTAGTGGAGTAACAGAGTCCCAATTGCTGCGAACGGCGGCGAATCAATATTTCACGGTCATCACAAACACTGGCATATACAGCCGCAATATTTTCTTCGGTCCTCACTCTACGTATGCGTATTGGTGGTTTAACGTCCAGTAATGTAAATTGGGTTCGAAATTTAGTCACAAGCTCCGAATAGCTCCCTCAGTAGGCCGACGAAACTGCTCATAAACTGGAAGAAGTGCATGCACTTACGTCACTGAGCATGAATTTTGATAATAAATTTCAATAATTTGCAAGCGTTGTTCATTTGTAAGTCGATTCATGGTTTAATTAATTATAGAACAAACCGAACAAGTTTGACAATGACACAAGACACGATTCACGCGTGTCAGCCCAAAAGATACCAGCAAAAAGATCACTCATTATAAAAACGGTATGGAACTTATTGAAGGTCGCTGAGGAAAGTGTATAGAGCTGCAAGGACATTATATTGAGAAATGAATAAAATTTTCCAAAATGTTTGTGTTGTCTTTCTTTGGCCGGGTACTTCTGGTAGTACCCTCGTACTTTCAAATCTTGTAAATTGAATTATCTCATAAAAATAATATCATGGGAAACTTTTCTTCGGACTGACACAATTATTCTTGAATGAAGAAGTCAAATAGAAAATCAATTTGGAGTAAAATTTCATTACTATAATATCAATATACTGTATATTTTCTCCTGCAAGAAAAAATCTCATGAGAATACAACCGAAAAAATGATCAGTTCTCCATCATGATTTTTTGTTTTTGAAATGCAATTTGATTTACTCAAGAAAGTAGTTCAGACCAAATAGCGAATTTGTACAGTTTGATAGCCAATCGGGAATTAAAACGTTCCATAACCGCTTTTGGATGCTTTTTGTAACTGACTAAAATAATTTTTCATTAGATCCATGGCCTTTTTTTGAATTTGTTCTCCTTTCGTCTTTCATTCCGCTCTCAAGAAAAATAAAAGAGGTTTGTCTTATACAACAATTTTAGCAGATTTTCTGTCATTAACCATTTTTGCAATTACATGTCATACTAACTATCTGCATTATCTATGAAAATTATTTCCACAGCAAATCACATGACTGAAATTACAAACACAAGAAAAAAGTTACTACTCATTGTAGTGGTTCTTTTTGAGAAAATACCACCATTTTTGTACAAACAAACTTTATTTTACTATCATATGAACACTTCACCACGCCGGATGACGAGTAAGTAGCTACTGAACTCTTTTTTTTCTGGTTTCTTCTCTGTCTTCTGCAATTAGATCAAAACAATCAAGATATGCTGCGGATCTTTTGTATCCATCATGAAGAAAATGTGATCAAAGTTTACGTACATTCGTCAAGTTAAATTATGGACTCTGGCTACCAGTTCAATTTTATTATTTAGTGGACTGACTGTAATCAATTTCATTTTTTCTTAACCACATAAGTATGTTTGTTTTTCTGTCCTTCCAGGTACATACGCCTTCCGACTGCCAAAAGATGATACAGATGGTGTCTGGGTGTCTTTTGAAGATCCCGACACTGCTGGACAGAAAGCTAGTTATGTCAGAGCTAAAGGACTGGGTGGAATAGCCATTGTTGACATATCACTGGACGACTTCCGAGGATTATGTACCGGAGACAAATATCCCATTTTGAGAGCTGCTAGATACATGTTGTAGTTTCTATATTTTAGTGTTTTATTGAGCTGAACAAAGTTGCAAGTGAACTGAATCAAAAATTGGTCCACTTGTTGGCAACAATTGTATTTCTGAAATGATATTAAAGAAAGTTAACCCTTAACTGTTTTTCAATACTTTGAATGTTTAAAATGATATTAAGTGATCGAGCTAGCTGAGATGTTGGCGAAATGTCGATTTTTTAAAACTATAGAACGAGTATTGCATACGGTCGCCCATTTATATTACAAGTAAGTGGATGATCTTAAACTTTGTGACTCTGGGGACAAAGATCTCTCTCTATCAGTCTTTGAAGGCAGTGGAAGAGTACAGACTGCTAGCGGTATGAAATTAGGAATAGACAAATGTGCAATGGTGTTTTGATTCTGAAATGTATACATTTTAACGGTACAAGGGTTATATTTTTTGAAGAACAAGAGTTCCACTTATTCATAATGATCCACAGGAGTGACAATACTTTTCAGAAGATGCTAGGAGCATGTTAGAAGTTATCCTTACGTCTCCCACAAGGGTTGTCGTTTGTAAAGCAGCAATAGCTGGTTACCAGAAAAACAGAGTTTAGTCAATGTCGATAAAAGTGCAGTGAAAATAGAGCAAAGTTCGACAGATAACTATTAGGTTGCCTGGTTAATTTTTCGGGCAATTTCAGCAATGCTTTGGTTCAATTCGTAGAGCTGAGAGACTGACATACTCAATGGACCCGCTATCCATTTTTATAAGAGGACAAAAATCATAGGAAATGTTTTTTGCTGAAAAATCATAAATACCGTTTTGGTGACATTGATTGGTAACCCATTAATTTTACACCACTAGAAGAATTCATGTGATACCGCATTTGCTGCTTCTATGGAAATAGATAACACATTTCGTGCCACCATTTGAATTGTGTCATCTGCACAGATTATTGTTTTTTGTTGTGACATGTTTGAATTTTCTATATGACTCATGAATACTGTGTAAAGAATTGGAGCCAGAGTTGAACCCTGCGGAACTCCCATTGGAACAGAAGCAGGATGTGATTTCATCGAATACCGCAACACAGTATAATGAATATTTATTGAGACATGGAGCTACAAAACCACGTGAGGTTAAAACGGAGAAAACCCAATATTTTCTCAGAAAGAAATGACATTTTAAAATGAATTAATATTAGAGATCGATTATTTCAATTTTCTACAATACTAACCAATTCACATGAATCATTTAAACATCAATCAAACTTTCAAAAATGGGATTGAATGAAATATCCCAACATAATGTAAAACTTCGTTATCCATTGAAGAACATTCCACCCTGTATAATATTATTATAAAAAGTTCCACTGATTTTGATGACCCTATACTGATAAAGAAAACAATAAGAACGGGAATACCCGTGTTTCTTCAACTAACTAATAAAAAATCAGTTCCTCATATTTGCATATGGCATTCATCAGCCAGAAAATAACGTTATTATTAATTGAGTAGCACCGCAATATCTGTTTATATGTGTCTACAGAAAACAGTGAGCTGCTAACAAATTACTAAATAACTATTGGTGGGTAGATTGACCAAATATCGGACAAGATTAAGGCTTGCAAAGAGTTCCGCAGTCAGTATTACCAAAGACAGGCTCAGGCATGGGCACTTTAACTGTTTCAGTGGTTATACTTGCTCTTGCAGCTGTTTCAGTCGCTGAAAAAGTGGTGGTTTGCAACTATGAAACAAAATCTCATCTGAGGGAAGGTAATACTTATGTTTCACTTAAATGGTGATATTTTTACATAGATACACGTTAGGTGAATGATGATAATTCGTGATCCTTGAACCTTTAGAAGAGATATATCAAAATATATGTCTGTTAGTGTTGAAAATCATTTAATATTTTTATCTGTGGACTGTATTTGTAATATTAGCATATGAAAATTCGAAGATCACGTGCGGTCACCTTGAATTAGATTTATTTGTTGCGTCTGTTTGAATGTCAGTAAAATAAAGGCCATGATCTCATTGTGTAAGAGACAAGGTATCTACAAAGTGTGCATAGAAAACATTTTTATGCTGGTGATATTCTAAACGTTCATCTGAGTTTTCTTTCTGATAATCGATATGATCTTAAATCATGGAATCAGGAGTTAATAATTGGGGTTCCTCATGATTTAGTCAGAAAATTGTTATTTGTAGTATTCTAATATATGAAGTCAACTGTGCAGAAAATACATATGAAACAAGTTATCGATGAATTCGAAAATATTAAATATTTTTTCATAAAACACTACAGTGTTTGTTCCTAGTTTGCCGAGTTTGAGTTCATAAAGATCTTTGATGATTTAGATTTGTGAAAACTAGGGTATCAGGATATCATACAGGATACTTGTAGTTGTTAGAATTGTGTTCATTCTTCTCTGAATATGGTATCAATTTTTGGATTGTCTTATTTGAAAAATCTTTGGGATAAGCATTATATCTAAGAGAACATTTTGGTTTGTGATTTCGTTTTAAAAATTATGTATCCAGTTCCAGCTGTTGAGCATTTGTAGGTGAGAGGCATAAGAAATTTAGAAGTGTTTTGCATGTTCGTTGATTTTCTGCGACAAAAATGGAGAGACTTTGCATCAAATTTTGTGTAAAAAATGAAATCAACTGATTTGATTTATAGCCAGACTTCAAGTATGCCCATAACTATGTGAAAAGTTTTGTATTGTTTTTCCTACAACTATTTAGTTTTGAAACATTTCATTTCGTTATTGATTTTTATTTTTGTATCATAAATTCTTATTAGGAAATTAACTTTTCATAACTCTATTATCGAGCAGTTTTTATGTTGATTATTTTATTTTAAGTTTTACATAGCATTTGTGTATTTTTTCATCGTATATGTCCTCTTCTCTCGAAGAGAGAGTTCATTGCCGAAAAAACTAAGTTCAGAACTCAGACAATCTCCTTTTTTTATATTCAAAATTTCGAGCATCTTCTGAACTTATCTAAAGCTTATTATTACCTCATGTTATGTAGTTAAATGTCAATGTATTCAGGCAATTATTAAAAGTTTCGCCATCTTGTAGTAGATGAAGATATTGACTTCATATTCTAGGGTTGTGAAGTAGTCGCCAAGAGCTTCAAAATGATGTTTCACAAGGCCCCCCCTTTCCATTTAATTTTTTATCCCAGATGACGCCTAGTCGCCATCTTGAAAGTTTCATCTGTCAATTTCACTTAATATAAAGTATTCATGCATTGATATCATTATCCCAAATTTCAATTTTTTGAGTTGACCCGATCAAAAAATAAAAGGGGGGGTACATTAAAGAAATACACTGTAATTATGATGATTTGTATTTGGGAAAAATCATATCAGCGAACAAAAATAAAAAGGTCTAATTAAAAAAATCGTTTCGATTGAAATCGACATGTGTACGCAAATAACAAATTATGATTTTAAAATTCTAAATGAGTTTGGTTAATCTAATCGTATTCTGTTTTCGTAGATTTGTTTACAAATACGACCACTGACTCTCTAATTAAATATATCATTTGTTTGATAATCCCCAGAAAACAAATAAGTTATAATAATTGGAATGTGATTTGAACTGGAGCCACATTATCTCATTTTCAGAAAAATATGTTTTGTGCTTGCCTAGCAACAGTGGCTTTATAATATTTATACAGGGCGTTTTACTTTCCATTCCAGTCCTGGCTATATTCGATTTTTTATTCAAAATGCTTCGAAAAGTTTTACATTCAAACATTACAGCTCAGTAATCATGTACATACAACAACTTGAGCTGAATTTTTCTCATTCACGGTCAGCAACAGAACTAACATTCTAAAAAACCCTGAAATTTTTGACTTTCCGTCAGTTTATGGCAAATTTCATCATTGAGATTTATTTTTCAATAAAAACCCTTCGGTGTATTTTTTGAGCAGAATTTGCTCAAAACAGATATAACTTTCCTTAAACAGTCAATTGTTTTCGAAATACACTCTTCAAATTTTGATTTTTTTTCAAAATCAGTCATTTTATGAAATTTGGTTATGCATATTGATTTATCCCCTCAAATATCGAATGACCTAACGAAGTCAAGGAACCCTATTTTTGAAAACTGTAGCATGTTATATGTTTATGGGTTCAGAATAGAGGGCTCATTTCAAACGTAAGCTGTGCCTGAACATGTAACAGAAATATATGCATACAGGGTGATATTTCAATAATTGAATATTTCCAAGGTGTATTGAACAAAACTCAATTTCTATGGAGAAAATCAAGCATTTTGACCTTTTTAGGGACTATCACGTTCTAAAATTTGAAAACAGGAAACTTTATACAGGGTGGCAAACTTTGAGTTCCTCCAGATGAATTACTGCCAGGATTCGAATGTATTCTTCACGAAAATGCGCAATTCATCCGTAGGTCAAGTTAGGTTAGGTTAAGTCCAAAGTGAGTGGGTCTATTCGACCGTCCACCACAACCCGCAAGGGTTTATTGTGGCTCACACCTATTCACACTCGACCAAATAAACCCAGTTTCTTAACGAGGCCGATTAGTTTGTATGGTGAGTGGTCTTTCAGGTTAGATGGTTAGATTACGGCTCTGCCGAACTCTAAAAACCTAATTCGGTCCCCAGCGGGGCAGGCACAAAGTATGTGCTCTGCTGTTCCATCATTTTCCAAACAGAGGCGACACACACTGTCTTCCGACAGTCCGAGTCTCTATATATGAGGATTCAAATGACAGTGACTTGTAAGAAGGTCTGTTAGACATCGTAGTTCATCCCTATTGTAGGTGGCAAAGCCTAAAGCAATGCCAATGACAGGTTCTGGTCCGATGAAGCTGCTTACAGCACCCTCCTTTGCAAGGGGGTCAGCAACCTCATTGTCTTCCAGGCCAGTATGGCCGGGAATCCAGACCAGAGACAATCTGTTAAGTCTTCCTATCGAGGAGAGTCGTTTTTGGCAATTTGCTACCAATTTAGACGTTGCTTGGTAGGAGCCAAGAGCTTCCAACGCCGTTTGACTATCTGAGAATATTTTTATTGACTTGTGTATGAGGTTGGATTCTTCCAATGTCTCCGCAGACAATTCAATAACGTAAATTACCGCTTGAAATACAGTCGCATAGGTTCCTAGGCAGGTTGCTATCTCTGTCCTGGGTCTGCGACTGAAAACACCTGCACCAGAACTGGAAGGTCTTTTTGATCCATCTGTGAACCAACAACTATCTGCTCCTAATATTTCCTTCTCCAGGAGGATCCAGTCCTCTCTACTCGGGAACAGTACTTTATAAGGCAGTTCGTAGTTGACAGTTGGAAGCATAAAGTCAGAGGTCATTTCCAGAATGCTGTGACTTCCATGGTCAATCAACAGTCCGTTGCACTAAATTGATTTGTGCAATTGGCACAAGCCGCTCTCTCCAGAAAAATGTGGAGAGGAGGTAGATCTAGAAGGATCTCTATAGCCGCTGATGGTGTGGTACCGATAGCACCACTGACGGCCAGACAAGCCTGTCTCTGTAAGCCAGAGAGCTTCGCCTGGGCTATAACTTATTACGTTTAGGAAGGATGTCCAAAGCTATTAGGCCATCATCATTATAGCCGACTTGAAACATACTCACAAATATAATAAATATGGGAAATAAGCTGATAGTGTACTGGAGAAAGAACAATTCAATCATAAAAATGATAATGAAATTTGAAAATATAGACTTAGTTAGTACGTTTTAAATGTTACTTCCGTCTTGTCGTTACTGAAACAAATATTATGTCGGGCTCGCGGAATTAAAGAAGATGAATTATTCAATCAACTGGATCTAGGTGAATTAGTTTATTTTGAACTTGTTGACTACAAATTGACTCACCACTGAAAACAAAGAAATTGTAGGCAATTACTTACTTTGCATAACATCTAATGGAACAATCTTGTAACAGTAATAATCGTTTTATGAGATTACATGATTCATAATATATGAAAAAATTACTCGTGAACTAGCAACATGAATAGCTTCGAGAGCATTTCGGTTTGTTATTCAGAGGTATCAAGTATGAATTGTTCACTCATTAGAACAAAATGACTTTCAACTTTTGTTTGCAAATGACCACTTTGATAATGGGATCGCGATTAACACCTGTTGGTTCATCACTTTGACTACCTTTATTTCACCACCTAGAAAAAAAATGTATTATCTCGTTTAGATATTTAACTCATTGGATTCCAAAAATAACTGCACAGATTCTAAACAATTGGTATACTAATCACAATAATTATTAAACTATATAAGATTATTCATACTAAGTTTTGGTAAATGGTCGACAAGAAAAGATGAATAGTTTGTAAATTTACTAAGCCGTTAATTTCCCAAGCTGGATCTTTAATTAGATTCACTGTTGTTTGCACTTGGCCATTATTTGTACTTAACGTGTGATAATGAGACGCATCTTCAACTGTGATACATATTGATGATTCCTCTACCGCGACTACTGTCTCTTTGTCAAACACATACATATCCGTTTTTTCAAAAGCAGATTGTTCAACAGATCCCAGTTGTTGTTGGGCCGCAGAATTGAAATCTGTTTCATCTTTTTCAGATTGTAGTGTATTACTGTATGTGGTTGAAGTTCCTGGTCCTACAATACTGTTTCCTCTTACACTTTTAAGAAAACTGTCAATTTTCATCGTTTTACTGATAACCTGTTCTTGTTCTTTTTTTTTCAATCAGCTCCACTGAGTCGGTTTCTTCCTTCGCTCATTCTCACAATTTCTTATTCAAGAAGTGAAAAAAAAATTATATTAGGAGTCTTATTTCGCATACGTAATTATCAGTATCTTTTGTTCAGATTTCAGATTCAAACTTTGAATAGTTACTTAATATAAGCAACAGAAATTCACTGAAGTATACTACAAGAGTAATATGAGTTAAATGAATTACTGATTCGTTATGAATGATTTATACATTAGGATTACTTACCTGCATTACCTGCAATGAGTTTGTATTGTATTGTGTTGTTAATGCAGTCAAGCTGCTGGAAAATAATTCCATGGAAATCAAAAAATAAATAGATAAGTACTTTTTGATCATTCCCATATTGATTTCAATTTAAGAGCCACCGGTAGGCAGCTGTTTCAGCCTATTGGGCATCGTCAGTACCGGGCAGGCGGTCCTCGATTGAAGACAAAATGAGAAAAAAATAACAAGAAAGTACTTGATAAAAATAGCTGCGTAAACGCAAGCGAAGTGCCCAATAGTCTGAAACAGCTGTCTACCGGTGGCTCTTTAATTGAAATTAATTTGGGAATGATCAAAAAAATATATTCGGTTATTGCTCGAAATTTCGAAAATCGGTAGAGAAAAGATGATTGTTTTTTCATTTTTTATCCATATACCAATTTTTAGCTCTCCAGTACAAATTTAGTTTTTTTACAGTTTTTCGAAAATTTGACATTTGCCGATTTCTCAAATTTAGCCAAAACTCAACAAAGTTAGTGCTTTATGCCTAACTTATCTTTCCAACGCATTTTTATTACCAATTGCAATTCTAAATACAACTTATTTCGCAAAAATTTAAAACACCAGAAAAAATTATGCCAAAAATGATGCAAAGTTGATACAGTCTTTAAAAACAGATAAATATTTCACTTTATTTCTACTTTTTGCGAAATAGCTTGATACATAAGCATAATTAAAAAACAATATCAATGAAAAGTCAATAATTTATTCTTTACTGCACTTTTCGAACAGTTGAACTTTGATTTACTAATTACGAAAAATTACAACGCAATTAAACTAAGGGTACTGTGGAAACAATTGAACTGAACTGAATAAGCAAAATATTCCATTGTCATATGACATTTGTTGAATAACTCAAAATAGTGTTTATCAGTTTTAGATTTAAAATAGTTTATTCGTTGTCTAGTGTGTTGTTAAAAATACTGAATCTTCAAGAGAAAACTGAAATCGTTTTAATATGCGGCGAGAATACCGGTCACCGACAAGTAGCTGATATTTTCAATGCCAGACATCCTGCAAGAAATATTCATCAGTCAACAGTTAGTAGGATAATAGCCAAGTTTAAATCTACTGTCTCGGTTTAGAGTAATTTTAGAAAAGCACATTAGCCTTAAATTTAAGAGTAGTTCTAATTCAAGAGTAGTTCTGGGAAATATTTATATTGTTAAACTCATATAAATATTAGTTTATATTACTACATAATTAATTTTAGAATTATGTTTTGAATGAATGAATTAGTTGACTAACTTTATTTTAATCTGTATTTTTCTAAATTTACTTGGGTTGCTGCGCGAGGCCCCTCCAAGAGCGAGGCCCCGGGCGATTGCCCCGTTCGCCACCCCCTAAGGCCGCCTCTGGTAGTGGATGTTCATTAAGTATCGGCCACTTCCATCACATAGATTTGTATCAATTCACAATACAATTTACAATAGGTATTGATTGTTTTTCCTCAACTCATCTCTACTGTCACGTGGCTGGATGGATATCAATCCAGTTATCTTTTTTTGTGGAGAGCTCTTTCTTATTGAGTAACTCATCGGCACTCAACTTTGTTTGCTTTCAGGGCAGGGAAAATTCGACCTGACCAATTTGGAGCCAGCCTTACAGTACTGCACCCACCTGCTTTACGGCTACGCAGCTATCCACGAAGATACACTCAAATTAGTCCCGTTGAACGAACAATTTGATGTGATTAAAGATAATTACCGCCACGTCACGGACCTGAAGCGAAGATTTCCAAGATTGAAGGTTCTGCTTTCAGTGGGCGGAAATGAGGATGTTAGCGGAGAAGGAGATGAGAAGAACGAAAAATACAGGAAAATCGTAAGTATTCAATTAAGGAATTGCTGATCTGTTTTGTCACGCACACTTGCTCGCTTATCAAATAATAATCACAATTTATTTTACTATCTACATCCACAAAAACAATGACACATGAAGTACAAGGATGGTCTGAATAGTTTCCGACCTAACAAAGATACAAGACATTTTTCAGATGATTTTTTTATGTTTCAATATAGTCTCCTTCCAACTCGGCTTTTTTTCTGCAAAATAATCGTTCATGAAAGTGATTGCCTCTTCATTTGACAAACATCTCTGTCCTCCTAGCGCAATTTCCGGATGAGGGAACAAAAAGAAGTCGCTTGGGGATAGATCTGGTGAGTAAAGTGGATGGTGAAGCAATTCAAACCGTAATTCGTGGATCGCAAGTTCTGCTTTCATCTTGTCCAGTAATGATGCCGAGAAAACAGTTTCTGCTTTTTGGAGCCGATTCTCTCTGTTCAATCCACTGTTTATACTGTATTTTTGCTTCAGGCGTATAATGGTGTATCCAAGTTTCATCCTACCCGTCAATCCACATACATTTCTCATTTACAAAAAGCCCAATTATATATATGAAAGATATAAAACTTTCAAATCACAGAATAATTCGAGGACACGAAACCGTCACACTTTTATTATTCCAAAACACTCGACAGCTGCTTTTCTCGTACTTTTATTTACAACTCTATCAAACAATATAATGCTCTGCCCAGTGAATTTAGACACTACTTCATATATAATTTTTAAAAAAAGTTGAAAACATATCTGAAGTCTTCTGGATAGATAATATATTCATGTTATGCCTTGCTCATATGGTTTTCCTTTTGTCTCACCTTTGTGTAAGTTTTGCTATATATTTTACCTTATTTAAGCTAAATAGATTTATAATATTTACTTTGGGATTTATACCCTTTGTTTTTTCTTAGTTTCACAAAGATTCATGAACTACTCACTTACCAATGTATACTAGGTAATTATTTTTATATTTCTATATAAAACATGTTATACCCCAGGTTCAGTTGTAAAACAGCCTGAGCTGAACTTCGCCCTTTTATTGATTTTTGTATTTACTTCTTCTTTATAAACAATGTATGTCATCTCATATGCTCATCTATCTAGCAACTTGGCGCATGGCGGGTCACTGATCAACTTTATGTGATGCACGACGTTATAAGTGAACGAATGAGTATATCCAAGAGTTTAAAATCCCAGTAAAAAAGGCGTGTAACTTCTTACCCCTGTAACAACATGCCCCTACACATAACACCTCGACACGTGTTTTGATCACCAAGTGATCATCTTCAAGAGGAAGATNAAAAAAACATCGACTTTATGTTGATGATAGACACTACTTTGCACTGACGAGTGGCCAAACAGCACGAAACCGGTCTGCAAGTGTGTTCCAATAACTGATAATCTATTGCGGCAGTTTTATCGTCAACAGCATATGCAGGAATAACTTCTGTGAAAAATACTGCACTGACACCTGTCGGATATAATCCAATGCCCTTTGTGGTATTAGCCAGGGGAATAGTTGTTTTCTGATAGGTGTCAGCCCATTAACCTACAGCGTAGAGGAGTTGAGACTGGCCTGAACGAATTGTTCTTATAGATGATTTGATTATTTTTGAAGTCCCCATTCCTATCTGAGCAAATCAACTCTTTTGATTTTTTTTTCATTTGATATATAATTAGGTGTACTCAATAACTAAGGTAATTTCATCAGAAACGATGTTACATTTCAGTTAGAAACATCGGCGCATCGTTTGGCTTTTGCTAATTCAGCATATACATTGGTCAAGGGATATGGATTTGATGGACTAGACTTAGCTTGGGAATTTCCTGAAACGAAGCCTAAGAAGATAAAATCCGGTTTCAGTAAGTAGCGCAGAATATCAATATTCGTGACTTTGCTGAAAAATGAAAAAGGAGCATTTCCAAAAAAAATGCGTATTTTTGTGAATCCTAAGGCAGGATTTGTTTAAAGTTGATGATAAAAAATAAACTAGTTGATTGTTAACTAGTCAAACTGAGTTTACCTTTTCATGAAAAAAACGTTCAATAGAAAAATAATGCACAAATGAAAAAAGTTATATAGTTGACCTATAATATTCTTGAATTTTTTCATTTTGTAGAAAAATTCTGGAGCTCTGTGAAAACCACCTTTACTGGGGAAAGCGAAATTGATGAAAATGCCCAAGAACACAGGGAACAGTTCACATCTCTCGTCAAGGAACTGAAATCAGCTTTCAGACCTGATAACTTATTGGTTTCTCTCACCGTCCTTCCTAATGTGAATAGCACAGGTAAGATCACGAAAATAGTATTTCGAAACACTTATTTGCTCTTTTGTACGAATCCGCTGCTATTTTTTGCTGCATCAGACTTTTTACTCAAGATCTCAACTTGTTCCAAATTTATCGACTGTCTAGGTAGGGTAACTTCCCTAGTTTTCCCCCTTTTGATTTATGTACTCACCCCTCATTCATTATCACCTTTATTATGTTTACTTAGAAGTTCGGGATCTAACAATTGTGAGAAATCAAATCCCATTCACTTGTCTTTAAAATGTTAAGTTGATGTCGATCAAGTTGAAATACAAATTGATAGAAAATGACCTGTCACTGTGGCTTTCATACTACCATTCGATGTCTAAAATTATTATTGCCCTCTAAACCAAGTTATTTTGGAATAGGTGTATTAATTGTGAGTGTCTTCATGAAATATTCATATAGTGGAAGTCAGCAGATCTAAATCAATAACATTATTTCAAACAGTGGTAGTATCAGTAAGGGAGTGCCGCGAAGTTTTATACTTGATCCCATATTACTTGAATTTCACTAGTTCGGACAAGGAAAGATCATCGCTAACACCGCACCACAATAAGCCCCCTCACTTGTATGGNCCAAAACGGTCATCTCCCACGGAACCAGTGAACCGGAAAATGGAAAGCGGGGATAAGTGAAAGTACTCGAACGACCTATAAATAGTCATCTCTCGGTCCAGTCATCACCCGAAGACGATTGTAGGTACTAACAATCGATGTTTTGAAATTTCTAATGTTCAGTCATCAATACACTTGAATATACAAGTCTTTTCTTTCCAAGTTGAAAACACCTTACGAAAATGTCATAGAAATCGAGTTCGTCCGGACTTAACTAATAATGGTAATAATGAAATTAGAATCTCTCAAAGCTACAATGATTACTTTCATAATTTCATACAACTTTCTCGACCGAAGTGTATTCGTGAATTGTGCTGGTAGACTTGAGATAATGCAAACTTTTTTTAATATTTTTTTCAGTTTACTACGATCCCAGAGCTCTGGCTCCTTATTTGGATTTCATCGTACTTCACGCTTTTGATTTCTATACTCCAGCACGTAATAGAAAATTAGCTGATTTTCCATCACCTTTGTATGAACTTATCGACAGGAGAACTGACGAAAACATTGATGCCTGGGTCAAATATTGGTAAGTTGATGAAAACGGTGATGATGAAGTTTAAAAAAAATGATTTAAAAAAACAAAAATTTATATTTTGATAATTCAACTCCATTGATAATAAGATACTTTCGAAAATGATATTGGCAAGGATCTGGCAATATTCCATATCCATGACATAAAAAATGTAATTTTCAAAACTAGCGCTTCCTACATTCTTATGAATTTTCAGATGAAAAGAAATTGAATGTTTTGAATGGCATTCAAAATAGTGGGAAAGGAAGTTTTTGGCTTTTAACTACTCCATCTTGAAACAAAAAAATGTGGGAATCTTCCAAAGAAAGGATGCAATCAATTTCAAAAGAATTAACTATGTACAAACGTGTATAGATCATGCAAAGGCACTTTCAGGCACAAACTGGAGAAAAAGCCCTCTTGAAACAACTACTGTCATATAAACATTGAATTACATAAAAGAAACAAATACATTCGAAACAACTACTTTTATATAAACATAGAATTTAACAAAAAGCACTTTTTCCAAACATGGAATTGAATCAGATATCATCCACAGGATTCCTACACAAAAATTATTCACGATTAAAAATACAACCCTTTCAGTTTAATTCAAAATAGTATTCTTTCCCAGCTATCCGATACAATAGGATTTCCAAATGCCAAAAACAACTACTTTCCCGACTGATATACAGTTTATAATCTTCCACTTTGAGAGAAATGTTTATATATTTCATCTGAATTCAACAAGTCACACAGTATACAAATTTTCACGTGCAAAAAAAAATAATTGAGAAAACGAGCTCGAATTTCAACATTGCAAAAGATCACTTCTAATAATATACGGCATTGTTCGAAGCATGTGAAAATATTTGACTTTCGCGTTAAAAAATCTGGCATTGACATATTTTTAAGAACAATGCTCTTCATTAATAGAAGTTGAACTTTAGAATATTGAAAAATCTCCAGATATTTGCAAAAGAGCCCCACTTTCAAATAAATGCGCATACATATTGCTTACTCTAAAGATATTAGCGTAGAGAGGGGAATGGCGGTCACTTAAGGAAAACATGGTATATTTTTTAAATCATTTATTATAATTTGAAATTAAGAAACGTAACAAAGTCTTCAGTTATCAAGTAATCAACAATTCAACAACAAAAGCATAGATCTTTGACCTTCTTTCTATGAAAAAATGACGTTCCCAACGTCTGCATATTTTGTAGGTTTGATACTTTCCATTGGTATGAAGGCAAGGCTTTATTCGTCGATTAAACAAATGGATGAAGGTCGTTTCTAATTCTGATCTTCTACTAAAAACATTTCATTGTTCAAGGCTCAGTCATGGTGCACCTGCAAACAAGCTTGTGCTAGGAATTCCAACGTATGGAAGAACTTGGCATCTGGAGGACGATACAAAAGTTGACGAGTTTCCAATCACAGATTTGGATGGTCCTGGTGATCCTGGACCACTGACAGCTGAAGCTGGTTTGTTGAGTTACGCAGAAATTTGCTCCAAAGTCAATTCACCACCTGGACCAAATGGACTACCTCCTCCAGGACAATTCAAGAAAGTTCCAGATGCAACTAAAAGGAGAGGTTCGTAGGTTACTTTTCTTATTACCGAGAAACAAATTGATTGTATCAGAAGTAGCGATGTTGGAGCACAAAGGAAAACGTTCACTAAATTACCCCAAAAACAACAAAACCTTGTTCTAGAAACTAACTCCAACACTTTACATGACATGTCTTCTGATGACGTCAACTTGTTTACTCTAGTTTTATCAGGAGTGATTTCTGTACTTTTTGGAAAACACCAAGAATCCAATATATTACTTTGCTGCCGAGACACTTGTCTCGTCATTCCATTTGGATTCCAGGACATCCGCTGCGGATGCATATCTTCACCGGCAGCAGGAGGTTGCATATCTTAATGAGGATCTAGAGGTGCTTTCGAATTAGGGTGAAAGTAACAAGGTTCAATTCAGTGCCACAAAAACCCAGGCATCGGTTTTCTCCAAAAAGTTAAATGTCTCAGAACCGGATATAATAATGTCAGGACAGACGATTCCACTTTCTGCTTCGATAAGTATGTTGGGGGTTAAAATGGACACCAATATGTCTTGGTATAACCATGTCGCTGGAGTTGCAAAGGCTGCTTCTCAAAAGCTTGGAACACTGTTCCGAATCAGAAAATTGTACACTTTAGCCACATTTGAAGCTTCATAAAGCTCAGATCAGATCTTTGAATTTTTGTTCTCGTGTATAGAGCTTTGCCCCTAAACATACCCTGTAGCTGCTGGATTCCATTTAGAAAAGAGCCATCCGCCTGATTGGAGACACGAACATCATTTGATAGCCTGGAACATCGAAGAAAGGTTAGAGATGTGTCTCTCTTTTATAGACATTCTCACGGGTGGTATCTGTATTTGTACAGCACTTAGGCCACATGTGACCCATTGTACATCCTCCTAGGTCATCGTTCATCCTGTCCTTTCCAGGAAGGTGGACAGGTCACTGTCTTAGTCCAGCCGCTTCCTTGGCTAAAGAGTCGGCAAAATGCGATTACCTTCACTCCTGTCGTGCCCTTTAACCCACCTCAGGATAATATTATTATCTACCGAGGCTGTGGCTAAATCTTGGTGACTCTCTAGTACTGGCCCTGAGGTTATACGTTGTCTTTTCAAGGCTAAAAGGTGTTGTCTGCTGTCAGTGCAGATTGTTATGTTTTTGCCAGAAATTCCTTTCCTAGTTATTTCTTTTGTGTCGATTGAAATACGAGCCAGTTCTGTTTGGATCACGCTGGTATTTTTTCCCATTCCCCACTCAATCCTCAGGCTTAGTGATCTGAAGTACACTCCACATCCTGAGCCTTATTTGGTTTTTGAGCCATCTGTATATATATGCGTATTGCATTTGTAACATCTGACTCTGTGTTCTGTTTAATTTGTATGGTTTATTAAACACAAACCTGGGTTCAATTGCATCAAAAACAACAAAACCTTGTTCTAGAAACTAACTCCAACACTTTACATGACATGTCTTCTGATGACGTCAACTTGTTTACTCTAGTTTTATCAGGAGTGATTTCTGTACTTTTTGGAAAACACCAAGAATCCAATATATTACTTTGCTGCCGAGACACTTGTCTCGTCATTCCATTTGGATTCCAGGACATCCGCTGCGGATGCATATCTTCACCGGCAGCAGGAGGTTGCATATCTTAATGAGGATCTAGAGGTGCTTTCGAATTAGGGTGAAAGTAACAAGGTTCAATTCAGTGCCACAAAAACCCAGGCATCGGTTTTCTCCAAAAAGTTAAATGTCTCAGAACCGGATATAATAATGTCAGGACAGACGATTCCACTTTCTGCTTCGATAAGTATGTTGGGGGTTAAAATGGACACCAATATGTCTTGGTATAACCATGTCGCTGGAGTTGCAAAGGCTGCTTCTCAAAAGCTTGGAACACTGTTCCGAATCAGAAAATTGTACACTTTAGCCACATTTGAAGCTTCATAAAGCTCAGATCAGATCTTTGAATTTTTGTTCTCGTGTATAGAGCTTTGCCCCTAAACATACCCTGTAGCTGCTGGATTCCATTTAGAAAAGAGCCATCCGCCTGATTGGAGACACGAACATCATTTGATAGCCTGGAACATCGAAGAAAGGTTAGAGATGTGTCTCTCTTTTATAGACATTCTCACGGGTGGTATCTGTATTTGTACAGCACTTAGGCCACATGTGACCCATTGTACATCCTCCCAAGGAGTTGTCCTCCTAGGTCATCGTTCATCCTGTCCTTTCCAGGAAGGTGGACAGGTCACTGGGAGACCAGTAGGTGCCACTGGGTGCAAAAATTCTTAGTCCAGCCGCTTCCTTGGCTAAAGAGTCGGCAAAATGCGATTACCTTCACTCCTGTCGTGCCCTTTAACCCACCTCAGGATAATATTATTATCTACCGAGGCTGTGGCTAAATCTTGGTGACTCTCTAGTACTGGCCCTGAGGTTATACGTTGTCTTTTCAAGGCTAAAAGGTGTTGTCTGCTGTCAGTGCAGATTGTTATGTTTTTGCCAGAAATTCCTTTCCTAGTTATTTCTTTTGTGTCGATTGAAATACGAGCCAGTTCTGTTTGGATCACGCTGGTATTTTTTCCCATTCCCCACTCAATCCTCAGGCTTAGTGATCTGAAGTACACTCCACATCCTGAGCCTTATTTGGTTTTTGAGCCATCTGTATATATATGCGTATTGCATTTGTAACATCTGACTCTGTGTTCTGTTTAATTTGTATGGTTTATTAAACACAAACCTGGGTTCAATTGCATCACTAGTTGCCTGCAGCAGAGGTTGCGCAGTAAGCGCTTCCCGCCATAGACCCAGCCTCAATTGACCCATTCCTACTTTGAGGTTTACACCATCCGTGCTCACAGTGACTTAGCACATTTGATTCCACCCAGAGCGGTACATATCAGAAATACGCGACGGACTGTAGCTGCTCCTCGTTTTGAGGTTCAACTCAGTACACCTCGAACTTCACTGTTTGAAAACTGTTTTATCTGGAGATCGACAGCTACATTTTTTTCTACTCCTGTGTGTGAAATATTTTCACGCATGGAAATATAGATGTAAAGATCAAGCAATTTTGTCTAAAAGTTATTCACTACCTCTGCTCGATGTATTTTGATCTCGCATCGAGAGGGAATAACTTTTGTTGGAAAAGACAGTTCTTGAATCAGATTAGTCTGATGATAGACACCCCATCGAAATCCATCAAATTTCTGGTGTAGTTCGAAGTTTCGGGACGAAACATTTATCTTATGTCCTCATCAACACCGTTTTAGATAAATTCACAAGTTGATTTCTTTCATAAACCTTTTCTCTTGCTTCAGGTGTTTATGCTTACCGCCTTCCTGATGGCAACGACAAAGGCGGAATCTGGGTTGGCTACGAAGATCCTGAAACGGCTGCAAACAAAGCCCAGTATGTCAAGAACAAAGGTCTTGCTGGAATTGCCATCGATGATTTGACTCTCGATGACTTCCGCGGAATTTGCGGTAACAACAAGTATGCCATTCTCCGTGCAGCTGTTTCCGCACTATGATTTTTCTTTTTTTCAGCAATGTGAGTGTAATGTAACCTTATACTAATATATTTTGAGAAACAACTACATCATTGTTTTTGATTTTCTACAAAACATACCAGCAGCTCCGGATTCTTAAGTAATACTAATATTTATTCAGTTGTATCATCTATAGAGGACATTGAGTGGGTCAGAACGTGTACAAATACAAAATTGAAAATACAAACTCCGTGCACTTAGATAGATATCTTTATTTACTTCAGAGTATTTGTAGTCCTACATGAACACAGTGGCAGAAAACGTTGTCTGTAAAAGTACGTCAACATAGTACAAAATCTTAAATTTTCATACACTTCAGAAAATATGGACTGTCAAAAATCACACAAGAAGCTTAAAAAAATAAATATATACCAGTAAATGCTGGTATCTGAATAGTACACAAACTACAAACTGTAAGTTCTGTGGTATTTAATGTTTGCTAGGTCGCATGCGGGAACTGATTAAGTCAGATATACAAGCATAGCGGAATATGAAGCATGGTAGCGGAATTTTGGTTCATGTATAACGACTTTATAGTTCATCCGGTTGGCAACACTGTGGTAAGATAGCCTACTGGTTGTATTCAGGGCTGCTCCTGTACGAATTGCTGTACAATTCAATATTTTTTCGTACATGCATACCACATTGACGAAAAGCATACATTTTGACTTCATTTGGTTTTGCATCAATTCGGACAACACCACGTTTATATATTTACAAATTCACTTTGTCCTTCGATATTCGAGTAATCTGTCTATCTCTGTCTTCCATCTGATTATGATAGGCGTGTTCCGTGTGTCCGTTTGTCATAGAACTCATAGATCACGATCACAGACCACTTAATTTTCAGATCAGTCAAATCTATCGAAAACCGCTGACGCTAAAAGAAATATGAATCCACAGCGAGAAAAGTCAAATTTCAAATGAATATTCATGAATAGTAGTTGGTAGTTCACCTAAACCCTCTTGATTTTTGTTTTAAGAGACTTTGTGTTGTCATTTGATTTGATACATAATATAAGCTAGAGCTAGATTAGTGAATGCAGAATTTTCAATTAATATCAAGGCAAATAGTAATCAAATTGATATATTTGCAATAAGCACTTCAAAATGTTCACATTTCACATACGACGGAGTGTCTGCGCATGCGCTAATCTCAAAACAAATAATAGACATTAGTTTCAATCATGTACTGTTTTGTGAAGAACACTTTAGAAAAATTAGGTGAGTATAATAAACACTTCTTGTTTTTTTTCTTGCTGAATAAAATAAACACAGGTGCTATTATTTTTCTTCACGACCACGACACAATCCGAATTTCCACTAATTAAACACGTGTTATCATTTCAAAACTATGTAACACTATTATTTAGTTTCACATCAAATACTTTCAGGCTGCGTCTGCATGCGATACTTTGATTGGCTTTCTATTAAGGGGAAATGCCGAGGTCTCTGACGGGGGATTCCCCGCGATAGCAGCTTAACGCCAAGTAATGGCGTTAATATTCCCAGACTAAATAAAAACAAATGATCAGAAACGACACTGGTAAGAAGTATTGAATTAACTAATTTTATAATATACTATAGTCCATCAGAAAAAGGAATATATTCACAAATTTTTCATTTATGTGCTTTCGTGCGCCGCAGAATGGAATACCTTCAGGTTGGGAATTTTTAATATATTATTCAGAAAAAAAATCATGGTGTTGACTTTTGGATTTGCCATACTTTTTTAGATTATTTTCAGCTTTAAAGACGTCTTCACCGCGAGGCCGTGGCCCACACCTTACGCCGCCTCTGTGTAAGAGGATAATGCATTAGAGAGAGAGAGAGATACGTTTAATGTCATAAGAAATACATCTTGTCCACAAACATTTTTCTGCCTAAAATATTACTAATATACACAAATGAGCACATACACAAACAGAATGCATTTTTTTTCAGTCCAGATATTTCTTGCCTAATTTTCTGTTATATGTAATGCAGAAAAATTTGTACTCTGATTTGAAAAACATGTACAATGAAAACTGAATGGTAACCACATTCATTCTTGAAACGATTAAAAGCCAATCAATAAAAAAAATCCCAAAAACGTTTCCAACTATTTAGACAAAGTTTGATTCTTCCAACAAAACCAAGTGATGTCATTAAAACATTACCTAGACGAATATACAACTAACATTAATCTTTCAGAAAATAATATGCATAAGTGATAACTTCTATACACCTATGACTAAAGAATAATTTATCTATCATATTCTGCGAAGAACAATATGGAAATTAGGAATTCAATTACATATCGAAAATTAAAGAATCAGTTAACATTCCAAAGCGAACATAAATCCTAATATCCTAAGGAAGTCGCAATGAAAACTCTAAATGAATAAACTGAATAACAACAAACAGGTTCTCCATAATTGTCAGTTCCTAATCTACAATCCTGGTCACAGAGATAAAAAAAATGCAACAAACTTTTCCACCAAACCAAAACCTGGACTAGCATTTCAATTTTTGAATTTCGTTCAAGTTTGACGAATAAATTTAATTTCATTTGAATTAATTGTAGAACATTCTGCTATTCAAGTTGGTTGGTACTCTGTGGTCGGTTCTCTTTAGTTTTCGAGGAAGCCCATTCTACAAAATCGTCTATGAGAACTGGCCAAGCCCCCTCCTCATCGTAATTGCTCATGTCATCGGCTATGTGTTGAGCAAAGTCTAGAAGCAAATTCCAGGTGTCTTTAGGAATTGACCTCCTATGATTCTCCTAAAAACAACGTGTTATTGAAGTATCTCAATAGTGAAAGAAAAAGAATAATATTTTGTGGAGTTACTGCAAGTTATAAGGTAGTTTCAAAAGTTTTGTCTGTTTTGATGTCATGTGTTTCATTCAATTCAAATTGAATCATAACGCTGCCGAAACAGCCCGAAAAATCAACCAAAATCTACAATACTTCCATTGGTTAGAGAGCAAAAAATTGGGGTACAAAGTACAAAATTGGACTCAAAATTATGGCCTGAAAATAAAATGAAAAACAAAAGTGGCCATGCCAGCTCAACAGGGATCTGTTACACAGTTCAGGGGCATTTTGATAATACTCTCGACTTCTCAAAATATATCTTAATGAATTTGTATTTTTATTGCCCATTACTTATCTGTTTGAATTTGATATCTTCATTTTTATTTATATTGTAATTGCCTCTTCACACTGTGGAACTTTCACTGTTTGCAATTGCAGTTTTCTTTCACACTCGAGAACAGAATGTTAGTCATACACTTTCTGGCATTGAGCAGGTTTGCCAAAATACATTTGGCGATAAGTGAAAATACATAATTATTGAAATCTGAAATTAAATTACTACAAATAATCTGAGAATAATGATATCAACAGAAAAATAGAATTATCACTTTGAGGTGTTATATATACACAACATAAACTAGTTGTCATTTGTTATCTCAAATTTTAGATTAAATTAATAATTAGTAATATTCAATGAGGTTGGCAACACTGAATGTAACCATATTTATAACTAAAATTGCTCTTTTGAGAAGAATTGAGGCAATAAATTATAACTGAAATAGCTCATTGAAAAGCCCTTTAGGCGCATACTGCCATTCCAACTGTAAAGCTGTCCAAAAGATGATTAACAAGCTTTGTATTGAGAATGTATTAAGTTTCAGATTGATTTTTGATTTGATAATGATGACCTTTCCTCACCTGTAAAAAAGTACACCACAAATCCAGAAACTTAAACTTTCCTTTCAGAACTATATTCCAATATGCTATGGCCATATCGAGATCTAGTCCTTTCTGCCCTGGGTTCTTGGCGTAATTGAACGTGAAATGGTAGAAGTCTTTGAACTTATAACTATCCCTTAATTCGTTTTCTAACGCAGGCAATCGTGCCTTCAATTTATCAATATTATCACAACCTAAATCTGTCATCCCATTCACGAACTCATCTCTGGTGAACTCGCATTGAGTTGCGGCTTTGAACTTCCAGGCTATGATGAGCACCAATTTGGATTCGGGCGGCAGACTCAGATCATCTAAGAACTTCATGATTCCATCTACTGTTACCTTTTCTGGCTCGCTGGGATCCTTGTATCTGTTATATAACGAGTCCAACTTCTTTTTATCTACGTTTCTTGGCTCCTTGTAATATGCATCTGGGTTTTGGAAGTAGTTGTCACTAGCTAGATCTAATTTCCAATCATTTTGAGTAAGGCAATAAATGGCTGTATTTTCACCCGTCTGGGTGAAGGATATAAACTTTTTTACTTTCTCCCTTTGCGATGATTTGAGTTTATGCTGAAATGAAGAATATAAATAATATTTTCGTTCGAAAAGTACGGTTAGGAAGCCAAAATAAAAGAACTTCACTTTGACAGATTATCTAATAACTTTTCTGCCCTTTCACTTGCTTCTTAGAGGACTTTTTGAGGAATATTTACGTACCATAGTGGGAATTAGGTAATTCACAAATAATTTATTAACAAAAAGAAAACATTTGATTATTATTTCCTTTATTGTTGCAGATTTACGAAAAATAACCTCAACTAAAGTGCGCATAAACAAGGCTACCACACAAAGCAAACAGAATGACTTTGTTGGAAGAAGTAAGAAACAAAAAGAAAAAGTGAAAGTGGAAAGTGATAAAAATTGAAATTGTTCCAAAATATGAATATAATGAGTTCATAATTGCTCTGACAAACATTTCTACTGAAATGGGTTAGATTCCAAAAGAAAATTATAGAAATAAATTACTGAATTTTGAAAAATATCTATAATCATTTCAAGAAAATATAAAATGATTTCTTTTGGAATAAACATTGGAAAGAGGAGCCACAATATCTGCAGAATTTGTTTTCGCACTTATGATACTGATGGAGTGAGAGTTCGCTTTGCTCCAAGTCCGACAGGTAATCCTTTCAGCTATTTAGGGAGAATAATAATTTATATAATTGTAGGTTATTTGCACCTTGGAGGCTTGAGGACAGCATTGTATAATTTTTTATTTGCCAAAAAGCACAATGGAAAAGTCATTTTACGAATTGAAGATACAGACCAAACTAGATTGGTTGCAGGGGCTACCGAGCAACTACAACGGGATCTGGAATGGTCTGGCATACATATTGATGAAGGTCCATCTCAAGGTGGACTTGCGGGGCCATATCTTCAGTCCCAGAGACTGAATATATATAGGTAAACGTTGAAAGAACAAACACATTGATAAACTCAGATTTAGTATGTAGAAATCAAAACTCGACTATAAGTAACTTTCAGACACAAACTGAAAGAAAGTCCTCCTGATTCCCTCATCCTTGTTTTCTGTATCAAGATGGAGTAGTAGAAAGCCAAAAACTTTCCCAAAAAATAATATTCTATTATTGATATTCATCTGAAACAAATTTATTGATGTTGGTATCACTGCTTAAATATAAATGTCAAATGTCAGTAGTCCGCTAATAACGTTTTCCATTGATATAACTAGTGGTCCTAAGTTTCGCACTGACCTTACACTAGTGTTGGGGCAGTTCTAACATGTCACTCAACAACACGATTACTAAACGAAAGAAATAATCTACTGGAATACAGAAAACTATTATTAGTTTTTCACTATTTTAAAGTCACTGATAGAAGTAATTATAAATTTGTACTAAATGATTATTATGGATGCAAATCCTTATATTTTCAACCTAAAATCTAAGCTAAGTTTTATCATTATTGAAGACATAATTATAGTATATCTCAGAATGCATAAGAAACTTGGGAAGAACATGTACCATGAAAGGTAGAACTGGAATAGAATAAATCCAAACAAATACTGTTCCAAAACATCAGAATTGCAATATTCTTGACGCGCGTTTCACCAACCAAGTTGGCTTCTTTAGGAAATGAAGTACACTTCACTATAATTTTGGTGTTTGGGAACAGTGAATATTATTGTATTTTACCACATTCGTATCGTCAAATTCAGATTAATGAAAATCATTCGTGTGAGGCCTCTGAAGTTGAATGTCTACTTCAGTGAGTAAGATTTTCTGAATAGAAAATGCTGTACCTAAAATTATCGATCAGTTCGAAAGCTGTCTTTCTCCTGTTATTGAAAGAGGTCGTGCTCAATCAGGTTCCTGAATTGTAATGTTTAATATTTTTGGTTTTTATATCTAAAATGGGAGTAACATGAAATTTTGTTTAGGGAACAAGTTCAAGTGCTATTAGAAAATGGTTCGGCCTATCATTGTTTTTGTACTGAGAGAAGATTGCAATTATTAAGAAGAGAGGCATTAAAAAAACAGGAAATTCCTAAGTATGACAATCGTTGTCGACATCTATCTACCGAAGAAGTAGAGAGAAGGTTAGAAAAAGGGGAAATGTCGTGCATCCGGTTTAAGGTTGGTATTATTTCGGTTGGTATCAGATCCCGCTGAGTAGGAACGTTGGGAGAAATGCATGTTTTGTATTTTATTTCGAAACATTAATTTATTCAATATTTTGGGAAATTCGAATCGAGTTATACTCACGGTCATTCACATTCTGTGTGTAGTAAACCAACAGAGGAAATGAATACTAATTCCCGTAAAGTTCATAACGATTGCCCCTTTCCATAAAAATCATGAGACCAAATAAGAAGCAGCTTATCCTCATTATCTTCACAAACGGTACTCCACAAACTCATTCCATGAAAATTTGAAATACTTTTTCTAGAATTTCACCCAGTCTGATTGGAAAAAATATTTTGGTGGATATCCGGAATGTTCGCTAATATAAAAGCGATCAAGGTGATAAAAAAATTTTGAGTGAATTTCTGTTAATTGAATATTCCGTTTGAGTTGAGAAAATTATAGCAATCAAGTTGTGTGACTTGCAAAGGAAATGAGAACGATATCAAGGAAGACATTTACTAATATTTTTCCGTTGTTTTATTTCATAATACCTATTTCATTTTATTCATTTTTAGTATGATTTATCATTGTGTCATTCTTCTGATTATTCCAATCATAAAACCAGTGAGATCCATAAATCAGTTTCTGTTTAAGACACATCCGTTGGTGACACGGATTTATTGTATTTTAAGAAATCTCTACATGCTAAAGAGGGTCACAACAAATGGTGTCAGCTGTGGGGTGTGTACTGTGTCAAAGTGTCAGATGTGGGATAGGTACTGTTGAAAATAGAATTCTAGCCCACATAGGGAAAGTCAATGCATATGTTTGGATGAGTTTCCATGGCCAAGTTCAGTTATATTTGATTATGTTCAGTTGTGGCTATGATGTGGAAGCCACAACTCTATAACTGAACACAACCAAACATTTAACATATTTTAGGATAGATTGTTATTTATGGTTTATTCGCATTTGACGCACCATGACAGTGTGGCTGTACCTATCTGTTCAACATATAGTGCGTTTCTTTAATGCCCCCCCTTTTATTTTTTGAACGGGTCAACTCAAAAAATTTAAATTTGGGATAATGAAAATACTTTATTTTGAAGTGAAATTGACAGATTGATGAAACTTTCAAGATGGCGACTGGGCGCCATCTGGGAAAAAAATTAAATGGAAAGGGGGGTCTTGTGACACATCTTTCCAAAGCTCCTGACAAATGCTTCACAACCCTAGAATTTAATGTCAATATCTTCAACTACTACAAAATGGCGGAACTTTTAATAATTGCCTGAATACATTGACATTTAACTACATAATATGAGGTAATTAGCTCGAGGTCAGTTCAGAAGATGCTCGAAATGGTAGTCTTGAACTTCTTGACATATGAACAGCCTATCCGATATTTCACGCCGAATATTTTCGAACACAGTACCGTTCATATCTCTACAAATATTTATCATTCTCTGTCGTATGTCCAATATTGAAGCAGCGTCAGTTTCGTACACCTTTTGCTTCAAATATCTCCTTAAAAAAAGTCCAAAGGTGTCAAATCTGGCGAGCGGGCTGGCCATTCTGTAGGACCTCAACGGCCAATCCAACGACCGGGAAAAGTAGTAAAACCTGAAAACACCTTGAAATTGAAAGAAAACACTTTAAAAACACATTAAAAATATTATCAAAAAAGCACTGCTATAATAAAATACTGCCTGTTTTATACACAAATAACAAATATTATCAAGAAACACTAAAACGATTTACCGAAATATTTTTTAGTCCCGGTCCGTCACGGCATCCCGTCCGAATAATTAAATAAAAAACAAACGCAGTCGTACACTAACGGAGACCAACTGGAAGCTAGCCTCCTTTAACGCTATAATTTCTGCAACTGAAATTAAAAATCGGGACGTATGTCGCTGGTTGGAACCGTCTCGCTGAGCTTGTGTTTTTTGAAACGGTCGGAGGCTTGGCTCCCTTCCAACGTATGGCATTTATTATTTCGGGTTGATGGTTTCTTCGTTATTCGTTCGTGGGTCGTGCGTTTGAGGTTTGTTGATGCAGGCTACAGTGTGGTACGTACTACGTAGTGAGTGATAGTGTTTTTTTGGGCATATTATGTATTTATATTAAAAACTAATGGTCAAGTAATAATACTCAAGCATTTTTAGAAAAAATAATAATTATTTGTCAATATTTTTTAGTTTATGGCGATGAATAGCCTCAAACTTTATGGGGAGGCTAAGCCTCCCTTGCCTCCTCTCACGAGCCGTTGCTGGTGTACGGCGGATGCCGCAATGATATCTCGGCGGAGATCAGCAACAAGTTGACTGCAGACGTTCGTTTTGACGTTTTGACGCCCGTGTACGTGTAGTACAGTATTTCTTATGGGCGCCTTGAGTTCGTTGGAACGCGACTGCAATTCTGTGGTAGATCCGACCGCAAAATGTGGCTCGTGTACGGGCGCTCTAAGACACATCCGTTGGTGACATGGATTTATTGTATTTTGAGAAATCTCTACATACTAAAGAGGGTCACAACAAATGGTGTCAGCTGTGGGGTGTGTACTGTGTCAAAGTGTCAGATGTGGGATAGGTACTGTTGAAAATAGTATAGAAAAGCGGATTCTGGCCCACATAGGGAAATTCAATGCATATGTTTGAATGAGTTTCCATGGTCAAGCTCAGTTATATTTGATTATGTTCAGTTGTGGCTATGAGGTGGAAGCCACAACTTCATAACTGAACACAACCAAACATTTAACATATTTTAGGTTAGATTGTTATTTGTTTTATTCGCATTTGACACACCATGACAGTGTGGCTGTACCTATCTGTTCAACAAATACTGCGTTTCTTTAATGCCCCCCTTATGATTGAATTCTCATTCCAGATAAGTGAAAAAGAAGAAAGTTTTGATGATTTGATTTATGGAAAAATCGCATACAACATTTCCCTCAACGAGGGCGATCCAGTTATCATGAAAACAGACGGTTTTCCAACTTACCATTTCGCGAATGTAGTGGATGATCAGTTAATGAAAATATCTCACGTTTTGAGAGGAGTCGAATGGCAGATTTCTACCACGAAACATCTTTTACTTTATAGGTGACGTAACATTTCAGTTTACTCTTGGAGAAGGGTTCAAGCTTTCTCTCTGGGGGGAGGGGTGAACGAATACGATATTTTTTTTAAGTTTTGATATCGAAATATTGACTGTTTCTAGGGCATTTGGCTGGAGACCTCCTTCATTCGGGCATCTGCCTCTCTTGATGAACTCTGACGGATCCAAATTGAGTAAACGTCAAGGAGACATCAAAATAAGCCATTATAGAGAAAGCAATATCTTCCCTTTGGCTTTGATAAATTTCATTGTTCATTCAGGAGGAGGATTTACCAAGGATTTAGAAAGAAATATCAAACCAAAATGTTACACCATCGATGAGTTAGCAAGTCAGGTAATTATCAGAATTTTCAGTTTTTCACGTCATATAGCTCAAGTCAGAAAAGTACTGAGGTGTTTGGTATTGTGGATATGTGAAAAAATGTATGGTTATTTTATGTTTATTGTGATTTCTATTTCTAAATCATCAAACAAACATGTTGGAAACCTCCAAAAAAAGGCAGAAAAAAGATGACTACAATAAAAACTCTTCATGAAGTTACATAGTGCATACACATAATTTTCTTTCATATACAACCTGGAAAAAATCTGTTGAAACGACTACTTTCACATGAAAATTGAATTGCACATGAGTAAAAATTCTTCCCGAACAATTACTTTAATAGTAGTATAGTTAATATTAGTTTTTCCCATTCAGTTTGTACTACAAACATTCGTGTTCAAATCGAAACAGATATCATTCATAGGAATGCTACACAATGTGATATATGAAAGAGTAATGATATGAAATGTCATTCACATGGAACAGCCTCAGTGGTGTACTTTGAAGTATCGGGACAAAACACTTGTCTTATCTCCTAATCAGCACTCATTTCTGTCACAACATAACGTGTATATTTCACCGGAACAGGCATATTTGATATTGCCATGGTGAGAGTACTTATTCGTCTTCAAACTGTTCATTAATCCCATCCGTAGAAGTTTTATTTGAACTGATAATTAACAAATATGGTTAATTATCAATTGATGCTGTTTATTTAGTCCACTTTGCATGATGTCAACATAATTGTCAGCCTTCTTTATCAATAACCACTTCATAGCAATGTCTTTTGCAGTTCGACATCTTCAGAATTAATTCACATTCCGGAAAATTGATGAATGAGCGTTTATTGGAATTCAATAGACTGGAATTGAGGAGGAAGTTGCAAAATGAGAAGGAGTTACACAATATGGTGCAACAAGTGAAAACATTACTAAAAACAACTTTTGCCCAAAGGTAGATGCTACTATTCATTGTCTACTAGTTTTAAAATCAGAATTTCAGAGTGGAAGATGGTTCCTTAAAATTTGACGATGACCATATTCGGAACGTCCTGTTGTGGTCTTCTGAAAGGATATCCAAATTGTCCGATTTAGTTAGTGAGGATTTGGCATTTATTTGGGTCGTTCCCTCAAACCACCACATCGTCAGTAAGGAAGTTGACACTATCAAATCATTGAAAACAATGTTAGAAGGCATCAAGGAGCAGGGGGACACCAAAGATTTGAATGCTATTTTGAAAACTTTCTCCCATGAACATGGAATCAAATTCGCCGCACTCATGAAAATGTTGAGGCATATTCTGAGTGGTCTCAAGGTAAGAAGATTTTGAAAAAATAGTCTAGACTAATTCAGGAAGAGATTAGGGAAGATATAGGTATCAAATATTAGAAATAGTCATGATAGACATAATTCACCAGATTAACTTTCAATCTACATCATTTGCCAATCTCAATATGAAATATTACACAAATGGAGTATTTTCTAACTATTGGGAAAAGTTGCCTACCATGAAACCGTCTAATTTCCAAAACAATTGAGAAATTCGAGAAAATTTGCCTCATCATTTATTGAGCAGGCTATTATTTTACAATAAGATCATTTTGGTTTTCATTGCAGAAGTAGGTACTCAGCAGCGCTTTTCTCATTCTTAGAAAAATTATATCCAATATGTGAATGATACTCAAGTTGCAAATCAGTATTTTGTGTTTTATAAAGCATTTGTTTGGGTTATTTATAAAAACCACATGAAAGGTGGCCATTATTTATGGAAATGAAATTTGTCGTCAGGAGGAGTGGTTCATAACTTAGAGTGTTTTGGTAACGTCATAAAGGTCAATGACATCTATGCCGCTCTGGCCTTGTGTACCCCTTCCTGACTGGGGTATTGATGAACAAACTGTTCATTTTAAGAGACGTCGTGGGGCCTTCACTCAACCGAGCGACGGGGCCTTCTGAATCGAGTGGGGTCGTCTATAGTGTAATCTACAGCTTCCCTAACTAATGGGTTATCATGAGTTTCCGCTGACTCGAAAACTCTCTGATTCCTCAACTGAATGGACTGCTGTATGGTTAACAGCTTCAAATCTCTGCGGATTGGTTCATTCCGCACGAACCATGGAGCATTCACCAGCATCCTGAGAAGTTTGTTTTGCAATCTCTCCAGAATGGAGAGATTTGTCGGAGCGGTTTGTCCCCAAGCGCCTGAAGCATACATAATGACAGGCTTGAACATCGCGTTGTATAGTAAAATCTTATTCCTAAGATTAAGTTTGGACTTTCGATTGATCAGAGGATAGAGTTTGGATATCCTCATTTGTACTTTGTCCTTGATGTAGTCAACGTGATTTGCCCAGGTGAGTCGGCGGTCTACCCAAAGACCTAGGTATTTGACTCGCGTTTGCCATTCGATCTCCCTGCCTGAAATCGTGACTCTTGTATCTGGCGAAACGTTGCGCCTCCCCAAATCTATCGCCTGAGTTTTTCCCGAATCTTCCATTCCAGGTACCAGCGTTCGAGGTCGTCCAATGCACGTTGCATGTAGACGACCGCCAACCCCCGTCCCATGGAAGAGGCGAGGAGAGCCGTATCATCGGCGTATAGGGAAACCTTCACGTGATCGAACCTCGGAAGGTCGATCACGTAAAGGCTGTACAATAGTGGAGACAGCACAGCTCCTTGAGGCACTCCAGCTTGGATTTCCCTGACGGGAGACAGGGTTCCTTCAACTCGGACCTGAAATAATCTGCCCTTCAGAAAGGACCTAATCCACCGGATCAGGCCCTGAGGCAGGCCGAAATCGAGCATTTTGTGTGATAAGCCTTCGTGCCATACTCGGTCGAAGGCTTTTGAAATGTCCAGGAGGACAAGATGGACTGTCTTCCTATTATTTAGCTCTGAGATGGAGTTTTCGACCAGTCTCAAGGCCGGCAGCTCGGTGGAGTGTGCCCTCCTGAAACCGAATTGTTCATCAGGCAGAACATTTCGGTCTTCAACTTCTTCAGTTAGCCTTCGTAGCACAACACGTTCAGCCAGCTTAGCCGTTGAGCAAAGCAGACTAATTGGACGATGATTCTGGGGAAACAGAGGGTTCTGGCCCTGTTTCGGGATCATGACAACTACGGCATGCTTCCATCTTCGGGGGAAGTATCTGAGGGCGATTGAGCTGTTTATGGTGTCCAATAAATATCTGATAAAGTTCTCCGGGAGCTGCTTCAACAACTTATTGTTGATTGAATCAATTCCCGGAGCCTTCTTGGGTTTGGAGGCTCTGATGTACCCCCTCAGTTCTTCCTCCGTAGCTGGACGGATCACATCGTCATCATTTTCCCTGAGGATACACTGAACTCGTTGTTCCCGCCGGATATCACGGTCAATATCATCATCCGGATCAACATAATTGAAAATCGGAATTCCTTCAGAGTATTTCATTCCTCTTCCTAAGTTGGAACGAACAACAAAATGTCACTCCATCTAGTGGACGAGGTACTAACCAACTGCATATCCATAATTTGCTCGATTGCTCTGAATAAGTGAGACTGGCAGTAAACAAATCTTGTTAACTGCCAGTCTTCAAGCATGGCTCACTGACTAATAAGCAAGATTTATTTGTTTATTAAATTTTATATTAAGAAGCAATTTGGAAAAGCATTCAAAAATATTTCATATTTTTGTTATTTCATTCAAAGGGTTTGAAAGTTGGATAGACAACGAAAGATGAAAAAACTGCAGGAGGGTGTGATTTGAACGCACGATCGATTACCAGTTTAGAAGCCCAGATTTCGACCACTATTCTATCACGCTTCTTACAAACCAAAGTGACATAAAGCTTTTAGAGGTTCCACTTGCTCTCATTTTGTTACTAATTGTCGCACTTTTGTGCTCGAAGAATTTGATAGTAAAATACGTGATATTATGGAACATACCATTTTAGTGACAAATCTTGCCCTGAGCTACCTTATTTGTTACTTTGGGTGGTTTGGGTTCATACATATCTACTTATTTTGCTAACCTTTCTTCCTTCTGTAAACGGTGTTCAAAAAATAGAAGAAGGGCTATTTTGCAAGTGTGTAGTTGATGCAAATAGAAGCAATTTACTGAAATATAAGTGTTTTTTATAACTTAGGTAACACTTGTTATCTGTTATGTCAAGATATTTCAGGACTGAGTCTTTTTCGATTTATAATCATGAAATTTCAGGAGGGACCAAGTGTCGCTGAAATGATGGTGATATTGGGAAAGAAAAATACACTGGAGAGGTTGGAAAATTGTATAAATAACGCGAAGACCTGAGGTGAATACATATTTAATGAAGAAGGTATACAGTAGAATAAACAATACAAAATGGTTCCTTGAATGCTTTCGCTGTACCTCTTTAGAAGAAAGTCATTTGATTGTAAATCATTGTATAAAAATTGAACTGAGTGCGAATGTATATAAAAAATAGAAAAATATTGCGATTTCATTTATATTTGTGTTTTCCCTTATCGACCGAATTCAACGGAGAAAGTATCTGCTTTTAAAAATATCACCCTGGAAAGTGTTTGTTTCCTCAAAAAAATAGCTTTGACTAGTTTATAAAAATTTCATTCAGAATTGCCAATTTGAATATCTGTTTGAAATCTGTCCTTCCGTTAACCAGCTGCCGCCCTCCTCCCCCACGAACGATAACCTCCCAACAGTCAAAACTTGTGAGAGCTGGGGATTAACGAGGTCTTACCTTTTAACGTGCGATTTCTAGCACGGATTGGACGATAGGCAGTGAAAATCGATCGTTCGATTTCGCGGCTCGAATCACCCGACGGTCGATTGAAACCAAAACCAAATTCTCCTATTCATGCCTTTACATTTTCAAGTTCGTTCCCTACCAGAGGGATAGAGTAGCAAAATGATTCTTCTTCCGACAAGCGCAGCCCGCTGAGAAGGGCCCCCCTGATGTTAGCGGGTTGCGCTAACCCAGAAGAGTCGTGTGCCAAAGCTTATGCACATCATCTCAGGAACTTGATATTCAAAGATCAGTGCAATTATCGTGATTGGCCGGATACTTCTGGAACAAACCACTCATGCCAACCCAACCGCTTCCGTTTCACCATATGTGAATTATACTCCAACTACCATATAATTTTTCATCTCTCACATTGACAATGAAATCAAGTTTTGTTTTGTAGAGATCGACACTGCGCAGTTTTTCGAATCGCGAGGTTATTCATGTTCAGCAGTGAACTACAGGCCATTTCCAAAATTATTCAAGGGCTTTAACACGTTCTATATTGGTCCATCTGGTGTGTTGTTTGAGATCAATTTTCTGAATTAACAGTTTTCCCGCATTTGTTCACTTGCTGGTTTCTTCTCGTTGGATTTCGATAATAGCCTGTAATTGTCTTTAATGCAGGACTTGATCAGGGTTTGCGAACAGATAAATTTCGGATTCATTGTTTGCATTCCATAGTTTGACGTTTACCCTGTTTGGGTAAGTGTTTGTTCTAAGAGCTCTTCAGAATAGCTGTTTTGCTAAAGATCCCAGTGGATGGAGTACAGTTTTTGTTGGGACTCTCATGCTCATTGGATATTGTCAAGATATTTAGTAATCGTGCATAGTGTAACAAAATATTTCAGATGCCTATGCGAGAGTTTCAAAGTGCGTAATTGAGTCCTAATTTTTATCAGTCTAGTTTTATGGAGCTTACTATTGTTAACAAGTCTATAACTTTTTCAAGGAAAACAAACACTTTCATCTAAGAGCAATTTTTTGTTATTATTTGAAAGACATTTTTGTGTTTCTTGCTGTTTTTTGGAAACTTGATTTTTCACAATCTGAAAAATAAACAAAGCTGAATTTACGGAGAATCTGCTGAAGTGTAATAGAAGGCAAACTTAAAAGTTCATCCCGAAACGTTATTGCGCAATATAAACCACTGAAGGTTCCAATTAGTCACTATATTGTGACTGCCATTGCCATTGCTAAGACGAGAGGTTAGAAAGGGAAATATGAACCTAAACTGAGTCCTTGGAAAATATCTTGTATCTGTATTTATGTACCTAGACTATCGAATGTAATATCTGAACATTTAATTTTTTACCTCTGACTTGTTTTCGTATGAGATGTTTTTACTAGCGAGTTTTTGGGTTATGACAACGAATAATGTGTATATGTTTCCCTTGCAATTTTGAGTGTAAGACGGAGGATATATCTAAATACGTTAATATTTTCATATATATTCCTAAATGATATGCTTCCTGAATATCTCAAAGATCAGTTCTCAAGTAACATCTATTCATATAATACAAGAAATACGACTGATATTCAACTAAAGATGTATAAAATCTAAAGAAATGAACTATAAACGTTCAAGCCAATCCCGAATATACCTACACAGTAGGTTGAATGGACTGACACCTATCAGAAAACAACTACTCCCCTGGCTAATACCACGAAGGGCGTTGGATTACATCCGACAGGCGTCAGCGCAGGAATCTTGAAAATTTCCTGCATAAGCAAATTTTTACAAAATAACATTGATTTCTAAGTAATAATTTGATAACTTCATTAAAATATTCATTCTAGTTTTTTTCTTTCATCATAATATATCCACTTTATGCAGAGTTCACATGAAATTAATATAATTTCATAATTCCTGTTATTAACCAATTATGATGATCTGTTTGTGTTGTATTATTTGATATTTGTATTCAATAGCTTCATAAACTCTCTATTATTGTTATTATTATTATAAGCTTGAAAAGTGACGTTTTCAAATTTTGATAACTTGAAAATTTAAAATTTCAAAGTTATCCTTGCAAGTACATCTTTCATGAAGTGTATCACATTCTTTCATATTAGTTTTATCATTCGTTTTGCTGTTGAAAATATAACTGGTTATTTTATTTCTGTCATTTGTTCAAAAACTTTGTTTCTTATTTATTTTTCAAGAGAGAAATCACACATTCTATTACGCTTGAAGGAATAGAAAGAAGGCTGAAAGTTTTTTCAAGGAGAAATATCAATTTTTCATCGACAAGTGAACAAATAACTCACAAGAAATATAGAGAAAAGTTAACTCTATTGCCCTTATTTTGGCATTTCAGCTCATCCTAATCTTAGTTTCAATTTTTTCAGATTGTGGGAAGCTGAAAACCCTAAACAAAAGTCATCTATTCTCCACAAAAATGTTATCAAATAATATAATTTTTCAACCATGTTACCCAGACAACAATGGGTGAATAATTTGAGACATTAATTACGAAATAACCACCGAAAAAGTAAAAATGTATCGAAAAATTTTCTTACTATGAATTGATAGGGGGTCTGTATTATTGTTTTTCGGTAATTCAACATTTTATTCGATTTTCAATAATGTAGGGATGAAAGATTCTGTATTTCTGCTTCTCCATCTTTAGGTGTAGGTATAAAAAAATGTGGGAATCTCTCGAGTTGAGCAATAATTTCAAAAAATAACTCTTTACAAATATGTGTAGCCCATGCTTTTTTCAGTTTGTGTTTGAAAGTAACTCAATTGTTTTCTTCCTTTCTGTGGAAAATTCCCACATTTTTCTGTATAAAGATGGAGAAGTGGAAAGCCAAAATGTTTCTTTCACAAAAACTTATTAATTTATCAAGATTGATCTCTCGGGCTCTGACTTTATTCTACAAATAATACACAGGTTTCTTAGTTTAGAAGTCAAGATGATTGCATGGATTCAATAGTGATGTTTCGAAAATAGGGTAAATTATACATTCAACAATTTATTTCGATAGTAGATTTTTAACCTATGACATTGCATGAATCTCATGAAAATAGTATTTCAAGTCACAGCATTACTAGAGCACTATTTCTCGATGCACGTTTCGCAAATCAAGTTAGCATCATCAGGAGATGCTGTCATCAATTGGTTTCATTAGATTCATGTTGATATAGTGATAAAGTAAGGAAGCCACAGCGAAAGATCGGTTGGAAAAAATTATAAGAGAATTTCAGAATTCTGAGAATGACCATGCGAAATATTGAAAGAGCTGCAAAACATCAATTGAAACATTCTGTGTTTCTGTGTGGCGTAATGAATAAGGGTCGATAGTTTTGGATGAAAAGGCAATAAAGGTAATGATTATCATTGTTTCACCATCAATAAGGTTGACATATTCCACTTTTTAAGGCTTTGAATTTTGTGACCATTAAAATCAACAAGAAATAATTTTCTAACTAACACTAATACCTAAGAACTAGATATAGGAATTCAAAAAATCAGTAACATTCAAACAAGCTTAAAATCATACATTTTGAATGATAAAACTCTATAACAGTATGTACACATCTAAAGGAAGAGAAGCTACTCTATACTACCTTCTATGTCTATATTCCCATTGCAATGATGGCAATTGTTCTCAATGGGGTTGTCAGCTTTGTAAAAATATACTTATAGACCGAAATAAGAAGGAATGAAACAACTCGAAGCTACACGTTACCGCAGGTCAGTTGCAAAAAATATGTTTTGAATATTTTTATAAAAGTGAGATTGCTGGGATTATGAACGTGTTTCTCACATATTAAATCGACATTTAGATTAGATTAGTTTGTTGGGGAGCTGGCCCATGGCCTGATTCACTGAGACCTTTTCAGATCTATTGTGATGCTCCTTGGTAGTTAGAGCAGGTTTTCCGTGAATCTGGGCGATGGTTTCTTCATGAACTCTTTCACCAGCTTCATTCCTGGGAGCTTATTCCACCAATCTATCGATTTGGCTTGCATCCATGAATTTATAGATGTCTTTATACATACTTTCGCTACCTCGCAGCTCCAAGCGACTTTTTTGTTTCCTCATCTAAAAATTGCGCTTGGAGAACAAAGATTTTCGTCTAATGAAGAAACAATCACTTTCGTGAACAATGATTTTGCAGAGAAAAACGCTGAGAACTATGAGACTATGATGAAAAATAAAAACAATCATTGAAAATGTTTTGTATCTTCGTTAGGTCGGAACTTTTTTTAGACCACTGTCGTATCGTATGCAATGTTTTATTTAAGTTTCTATTCAATATGTTTCATGGACTTAGATCAATCTTTACTTCCCTACTAATATTATGAACCAACCGACCATTATGAAATTTTTTACACAAATACAAATATTTTTTGTGTAAAAAAATCTCAAAATCTAGCTACTTTAACGTCATCTAGCATTCCAGTAATGAAGTTCCAACCCTTAGTACCGTAATACCGTCGCACTGTATTATTCACAGTCACGACAATATCCAATCCAATCCAATCCAATCCAATCCAATCCAATCCAATCCAATCCAATCCAATCTAATCCAATCCAATTGACTATAGTTTCAGCTGTTTGGAATTTTTCTATATTTATTGTTATTTTCTTCTGTCATTTTTATTTTTAGGTTAGGTTAAGTTAGGTTAGGTTAGGTTCTGCAAAATGGCATTTGATAATGAACAGATTGATAGATCTGGGGGTGAGTAACTAT